CTTCGGATGCAGGTTTTTTGCACGTTGTTCCCCAGTCTCGAAAGGCCTCGTAGTCGGACACCAAGCCAGTAGATTCCGAAGCGGGCTCCGGTCGCTGGGCTACTGTGTGCAGACGCGCCAGCGATCTTTCTAGTGCCTCAAGTAAGGAGACTTCAGATCGTGCAGAATCGCCCGCTGCGGACATCTCCCGGAGCAACGCGAGTCCCTCCCGCATGGGCTGGCGCAAGGCGTCCGACAAATTCTGCACGGAGAATGCGATGAGTACCAGTAGAGCAGCCCTACATGCGCTGTACTCCAGATAGGACGCTCGTGCCAGTCCCGGTCCGTGATCGCGGAGCTGGCGACAGAACTCGAGTGCCTCCTGAGCGGCTTGGATGCAATCGCCGATGAGACTGTCTCGGTCGGAAGGCTGGAAGTACGATTCCTCCGAACACGTTTGGGGATTTGCATTCGGATGGGCAGCAGACTCCTTGCGGAGAAGAAATGGGCGGCCGATGAACATACGCAGCAGACATGATTCCAAACACAGGTGCATGACGGCGCGATTCGGTTGCTGTCCCACGTGGACTGGGTTGACGAGCGTGTCAGAGATGCCTGCCCACCAGCGATTCCAGGACTCTTTGCGGGCTATTAGCTGACCTATGACGACTGGTAGTCCTGCTGGTTGGGCGTGCCTCAGACGCGATCTGTAAACCGATCAGTAAGAGAACTATCACACAGGTGGTTGGGTGTCGCACATGTCATGGAGAAACTCCTCCAGCCAGTCTAGCATTTGAATTGAAATCACCGCACACTGCGGGCTCCAGGCGGACTGTGTCTGGCCCATGTCTGCGCGAGCCTGGGGGAGGTCTGCATCCACATCCCCGCGATGCACGGACAAGGGTCGTCCGTGGAAGATCGAGATTAACCTACGATATATTAGCGTAGTTTAGCAGCAGCAGTGGACATCACAGACCTCTCCAAGGAATACGCGGTCCACCAGACACGGTTCCGCGTCTCCATCATCACCGGGCTAAACGCATCCCGGCGGCATTTCCGATGCATGCCGTTTTGCATAGCTAGACGCACCGCCAGATTCACGTAAATGTAGCCGAGTCCAGACGCATCCACTGGAAGAGCATAGAATCCGAGTAGTAGACATGCTTGTACGCTCTCCAAACAGGACAGCTCGATTATTTCTGGTAGTAGTCGGATGGACTGTTCATAGAATCGCACCCCAACATCTTCTTCAGAGAAGGAGGGCGTCTGATTCTTGGGATCTCGGTCACTAGGGGACTCCAAATGTGCATATTGAGTTCCGATTGCGAGCACAGAGAGCAGAATGCTTGCCACCGCGGCAGCCGTGTCTCCGAGACTCGCGGGGTCCGTGTATAACCGGTGCACACGGTCCAACAGCCAGTCTTCATCTACCAGAAACCAATGCGTGGCGGCGTACTTAAGAAAGGTCTTGACAAGAAAGCCAGTAATCGGACGAGGAGGAAAACATGCCAGCGCTGCTGATAAATGCTCGTTGGTCTTAAGATGCTGGGCCCGCCAGTACCCTGAAACACGGTCGGGGCTCTTGGTCCGCATGCGACTTTGGATGCGCTGCTTGATGCGCATGGAAAAATTCCAGTAGGAGAATTCCCCAGAGAAGTCTATGATGCCTTAGTAATTATCCAAGCCAGTTACGACCAGAGCAAGACGCACGCGTAGTGGTGTCACCAACCGGGTCGATAGTACAATCCTCTTCCTCCAGAGCGAGTCCAGACGAACTAGTGACTTCTGTATGATCTGAACCTTTGCCGGTAGTGAAGGAGTTGGCCAGACGGGCAAGGCTCTTCGTGTCGAGCTCGATGCCCTCGATTGTGTGTTTCAAGATCTGTTCCATGTATCTGCATCGGTCCAGCAACTCCTGTACCTCCGCCTTGGCTGGCCGTGTTCTGCGGTGGATAATTAGCGTGCCGTTATACCCAGATTGCAGATGAACTCGCCTGGGAACGTAAACGCGAAAATCTCGGGCGCGCGACGCGAGGGCTTTGGATTCACAGGGACGTCGAAAATGGGCACATCGTCGACAGGGGATTCCTCCTTCGCATTTTTCCTTCAAGCGGCGACATTCGTCGCATCTACAAGTAGTGTCAGTGAGCTGAACATCTGGAACAAGAAGTGTCGAGTGAATGACTTACGCGCGGGCAGATCGACGACCTTCTGCCATGACTGGCTCGGTTTTCTGGATACCACTACGAAGAGGAATGAAGGAGGCAAGGTGTCAAAGCACCAGAGACGGGTTATAATCTGGACATATACGCTAACAGCTGCTCCGATGCTTCTCCGCACGCGATAAGCTGCGATAGACAACCCCCGCAAGGGCCATCCTGCTGACCGGCACTTCTTTCGCCGCGGTTGGTCTGTTATCGCCGCCAGTGGGTCGGCTGGAAATGCAAGATAAGCTGTTCCCCACAAGCTGTGCTTTTATTCCCTAGTGTACTAACGCCTGCTCTGAGGAGCAGATGAATGGCTGTCTGGCTAGTGTGACTGAAGATTTATTAACATATTCTAGTTCTAGTTTTTACGAAGTATGGAATCAATTTATTGAGGCGTATGAGGGCGTCAGACATCATCTCTCCCTCCTCGCGGTCTCTTATGCGGAGTGATCACAATTTGATCAGCGATTGTATCACTCCGTATGTCAAACAGCAGTTATCAATCCGTCGATACATTAGTCCCTATTGATAGAGGCGACGGCGTTCCAGCAAAAGGGCCCTTGCGACACGCCGTGTCCGACTCGTCGGCGTGACTACTGTTGACTCGCACAGTTTGAGTGAATACGATTTTTGAGTCCTCTACCTCCACCGCTTCAGTCTTTGACGGTCGGGATAACAGACGAGGCATCTTGTCGCGCAGCCGTGTCAAGGAAAGGAACAGTGGTCGCATATTCGACAGGCAAGAGGCTGTTATACCCACGGCGGGCTCAATGCAGGTCCACACACTGGCGGGTACTTGGTCGTCTGTTATGGTGTATCTCCTGTCAGTAAAGTACATCCAACTCAGTTAGACTTATTTAATTCTTACATGTAATATCGCTGCCGGCCTTTGAAAGCTCAATTAGTGTCACCAGGCGTACAATATCAAAGGCAAGCGTTCTAATGATGAAATATCCATGTCAGCAACAGTAATCCGAACAGCCAGGAGTGAGAATGCTCACAAAGCACCAAGGCAGAAGATGCCTGTTAACATAATCTTTTGCGCACGCGGTACCTGTAGGTTCCAGACGTGTTTCATCGGTAGCGCCAGGATGACGGCGTCAGTCACGATGTTCGGAATCTGGAGCCCATAGTAGAACTTGGCCAGGTCGATGCATCCACCGGGAATGGTCGGGTTCCAGAGCTTCTCAAGTGGAATACACACGACGCCCCCAATTAGACATACTCCAAAACACCACAAGATGACAATTGCCCCGACAGAGTTGGCCGCTAGTATCATCGGTCGGATGGAAAAGATTCGCTTGTATAATGCGAGGATAGAGAGCTTGGTGAATGCGATGCATAGTGTGTATAGGAAGCTGCCACTGGCTAGAGTCTGGATGCACTGTCAGCTCAGTAGCACAGAGGTACAAGCAGTGTGATATCACCAACCTTTAAATACACTACCAAATCCGAAGGGGGAACGTATACGATGTGAGTGCCCAGTCCGTTATACAGCACTGCCATTCATTAGTCAAAGGGGTTCCGGTGCAGTTGTCAACCATACTGGGAGGTTACGCACAGACAACTCCAGCCAGTGACACTGCATATTCGAAGACCTACCACCAGCATCCACTGTCAGCACTACGTGGACGAGATTTGAGGATACTTAAAACCAGGACGTACCAATGCCACGATGATCAAGTAATCATCGAAGAAGACCTTGGTGCCCGTGATCTTGCGACAGTACAGACGCAGGACAACTGACACCGTAGAAAGGATCAACGCAAAGCAAGTCGCAGTAATCACGACATGCCGCAGGTTGTCATGGTCATATCCAAGATCACCAGTCTCAGATGCCGCCATCGTGAGTGAAAGTCAGCTATGACAGGGCGACTGTCTAGTGTAGCAGAGGAGGGTGATCTGCCTTGAAGACAGTGGGCAACCCCAAGCTAAAAGAGATATCATTTCGCGAGTGTCGGGAGTGTCAGTGGTACGTGAATCTACATCGCGATCGCAAAGGTGCTGATTGATGTCATCAATGATGGTTGCAGAACCTGTGCTGCAGCGTATTATTGGCAGCCATGGCAATTAGTACAGCCACCCGCCGATCGAGCCAAGTAGGGTGTCGCGATTGAAGGTACCCTCGCTCAAAATGGCAAATTCTGCATCACCTGTCAGCTGTCGGCAAATGCCATCCATCAGTTAGCCCCCTTGCAGGAAAGCCACGCTCAACAATTCCAGGTTAGTGGTTTGCGGACCTGTCACATTGCCGAGCTAGGACTACGTCTAATATCATCAGCGACCGAACGCCCCACTGAAAATAAAGTTCATGTTTGGTACCTAGATCATAGCGTGGCAACAAGTCGGAAAAGGAAGCGTTTTGTAGTAGGGCAATCCCTCAATATAAGTGAGGCTAAAGACAAGTTGTGGGATCGAGTATCGATTTGGCGACTTGCTATACAACTCCACATTGGGCCCGGTCTACCCACTGTCGATCTTTACATCGGCGAGAACTTGGCCCCAAGGAAGAGGTGACTTATGTTACACAATTCATTCATCCTGATACCTTCGACTTGACCATCGTGGTAGGTGGTGTGCTTTAGGAAGCCAATAACCAAATGTGACAGGACACAATCGGTCTCGGCCATGTGGTACGGCGTGCGATATCATTTAAAACCAGTTTATCAACAACCTATGATAGCAGCCACTCTGCTTGAGCCGAAAGAGTCGCAAGCTTGAGAGCGAAGGTATAATTCTATGAAATCATCTGATGTAGCGGCTCACCGAAATATAACTACATGAACCAGTAATGCTCTCATCCAAACAAACAAGTTAGGCCAACCATTCCCTAATCCACTTTCTCAACCACTCAGGCCGTACGCCCTCCACCTCGCGTAACTTCTTACTCATCTTCGCAGTGTGCACCGACTCAAAGACAATTGGTAGAGTGTGTTCTGTTTCCAAACCCTCAAAGAAATCTAACAGTTCGGCAGCCGGGTTCTGCTCTTACAGTGCCTGCAGCTCCTTTCCACCCAACCCTTTGCTATCCTTAGTATCAGCCGAGAAGCTAACACTGGCTACTTCGATGTCACGCCGGACACGCTGCGCCCACTCGCGTAATGAGATTGTTTCAATCATCTTTCCAGCGTTGCCCTTGCCTCGCGCGAGAAGCGCGTCGGCCACGACTGGCCGTATCAAATCCCAGGATAGGGAGTGGAGGTTGACGGGATGGTAGACTTGGACCGCCCGGGGCGAACCGGTAGCAGAGGGGCAGCCATGATTGTCGGCAGCACCAAGAAGAGCTAGCTCAACTAGTACTTCGGCTAGATGATCAACAGGTACCCAGTCTATCCGGTCCATCAGACCCAGGGTATTGGGCAGAGCCTGGAGGTGTCGTGAGCTCTGAACAAGACTTGGGAACCACTCGGCGCGATTCCAGAGGGCGGGAGATCGCACAGCGCCTGCGACTTGGCCCGCTCGAGCGAAGGAGAAGGATGGGGCAGCTCGTGCTTGTTCGGGGCTATTTTGTTGCACTTCCTGCAGCTTCGCAGCGTAATCAAGCAGTTTTTCGGCAATGTATTTACTGTTAGCGTAGCCATTCGGGGCAGGGGTGGTGGTGGTAAGGACGGTTTCTGGTATCAGGCCAGACTCGCTGTTACGATGGCCCATGACCGAGCTGATGGATGAGAGGAAGAATAGATGCGGAGATTGTGGGCTGCGGGTTGCGAAGTTGATCAGATTTACCACGCCCTGCATGTGGGGTTTGAAGGTTGCTAGGGGGAGGTTGAAGTTCACGGTCCAGGCGCTGTGGATGATTAGCGTGGCGGTTTGCTGCAGCTGGGTGTAGACTTCGGGCTCTAGACCCAAATCGCCGTCCTGGCTTAGGTCCGCGGTCCAGAAGCTTAGACGGCCTTCGTTATCGGCCAGTGGGGTGAGGCTATACTCCTTGATGCGGTTGGGTTGTCTCTCACGAGCATGGTCCCCTCGGTTCAGGCAGTGGACGTGCGCCACAGAGGGGTCTCTCAGGAGCGCATCCAGGATATAAGTTCCTAGCTGGCCGGTGGAGCCGGTAAGGATCACAGTGTGCTTTGCGGGGCTTGTGGTGTTGGCAGTGTGAATGGCGGCAGGGCTGGGCTGTTCGATTTGACTGGTAAATAGCTCCAGTAGTTTGCCCCGCTCCTGAAGGAGACCTTGTTGTTGAACTTCGGTAGACTGTTTGCCCTGCTCGTCCAGCTGTTGAACTGCTTGGGTAAGGTCCGTTATCGAGGGGTGCAAATAAATCAAGTCAGGTGTGAGAGTTGGTAGATTGAGACCTTGCTTGAGCACACGCGTCATAGTTATTGCCTGCAACGAGTCCATTCCTAGAGTGAACCAACTTTCTGTGTCGGACACCTTCTCCGCACTCCAACCAGTAATGGCCAGGAGAGACGCGCGGATGAACGCAGCAACCTTGACGACATCGTTCACAGCCCCGGGACCGGGTGTTTCGACAGCGTCATGCTGAGCAAGCTTCTCGGCGTCCGCGTAGAGGGCGTCGAGCTCTGCTGCGTACATTGCCAAAGTACCTGCGCGTTGTACGGTGCCCTTTCCGGCACGCAGCATGGGCTTCTCCGGAGTGGTGAAAAGAATGTGGCTCTTGGCGATACGGGCATGGGCTGGACACTCCTCGTTCGCCTGCTGTATGCTGGGCCAGAGTCTTTCAATGGCAGCGGCCCGGTGGCTCGTGCTCAGTCCTACTTCTGAGTGGCCCAGTTCAATGATAAGAGCGGCTTGAAAGCGTTGCGCGCCGGCAACCAGAGCCCCTGTCACCTCAGGATTAGAGGCGAGTATGTGGCCCTCCATCGAGACGGGATCTGTCTTCTCGCCATTGAGGAAAACAATCACATCATCCAACCTTGCAGACGGCCGCCAGAGGTCCGACTTGGCGGGATCCGGGTGGCGCACCATCAGGTCGTTGGTGTGATACTCCTGTCGGTCGGTGAAGATTGCAAAGGGAAATTGGTGACCCTCGCGCTCTGGTGTGCGCACCATCACCGCCTCATACTCGTCCCCGGACACATGCCGGAATTCAACGCCCAGCTGTGGATGGAAGGGAAGATAGCGCCAGTCTTTGAGGGGATCCCATTTGCCCATATCGTGGATCACATTTAGGATCCCCAGCTCGGAAGCGCCATAGCCGTTCACAATTCTCAGCTTGCGGGCTACTATGTCCCCGACAGGCTGGGGCAGATCCCCGCCACAATAGATCATGTACTCCAGATGGTTGCCGCAGTACTCCAGCAGATCAGCCGATTGGGACAATTCCAGTACGATTGATGCGACAACAATTGCCCAGTTAAATGGGGTCTGCTTCCTCGCCGCTACCATCCCGGTCGCGCTGGGAAGACCGGCAGCAGTAGGCATTATCAGGGTGGTATCAACAGGCATGGTGATAAAGAGAATATGCCCTAGTCCAGCGGCCTACAGTAGCAGTTAGCAGTTGCAGTGCGCTGTAATGGTGGAAACCTTACATGGAAAGGAGGCAAAGAGAGATACATGCGCTTGCCGAACCCCCAGCTGTCCTAGCCTTCGCAGCCAGCGGGTATATCGAGTCTTTGCATATGCATATGCTTGACGGCACTGTCATGGGTCCAGATGATGGGCTTAGGAATTCCCGTTGATCCTGATGTGTGAAGGATAACCAGTCGATCATGTGCTGCTTCAAGATAGGTTTTGTGGTAAGGAAAGACTGGATACTCGGTGGCGAGTAGTTCCGCCATACTAGGAACATCAACAACCTTCACTGAGTGGGCGTCGAGAATTCCCGCGATGAATGGCGGCCGTGGTGATGGGGCCAGGAGCGTCGCGCACCCGAGTTTAGTGAATAGCGACTGATGGGCCACTGCACTGTTGCGCGGCGACGCGAGAAACATCTGTTAATATACCCATGCCAGCAGGTTTCCCCGAAAACCGCACTACGTAAATGGGCCATCCTACACAGTATCCAGCCTTGACTGCGCCCAATACTAATGCCGGGTATCGCAAGTCATTCGGTCCAAGATAGGCCGAAGTTTCTCCTGTTCCAGGGCCCAGGGTCTTTGTCAGCCAGCCAGCGACACCATTGATAGCGCTGGCCAAAGCTTTGTAGGTGATTGGCCTGTAGCCTTCCTCATAGGTCATAGGGTTCACCGGGTATTCTGCATAGATGGCATCTGGCTTGACCTGGGCATAGTAGTCAAAGATGTTGGGAAGTAGCTCCGAGCGCGGATCATAGCCGGAAGAGGGAGTCCAAGTAGTCATGATAGGCAGCGAAGTAGTGGTCAAAGAAGAGAAAAAGGAAATTGAAATCTCGATGATGGCGATGATGATGTTTCCGAGACCGATGTCGTTTGAGGCCAACCAGGGGAGAACCGTGTCTTTATAAGGCCAAACGCAGAAAGGAAGGTGAAAGTACGGAATTAACCGGGGCAGTGAACATATGGATGGTGAGCGCTGGATTGGGCGGCCTTGCTGAGGTTGGCGAAGCACAAGGTTCAGGAAATTTCCGTTTGCTCTCAGCAGTCCTTGTATGTATCGGAATAACCAAAAAACATGCAGGGGTTTTCTTTGTCCCATCCAACAGGATCCACCATAATTATGGATACCTGCCAACCCAACCCACTTGGCACATGTAGATACCCTAGCTAGCTGCGGCTATCCTTGCCATTGACCAAGCCCATTCAATTAAGACAAGGTGAACCCATGGTCTATAACAATCGCACGCGTGGGAATATCGGACAGCAGCGACTACAAAACGACCAGCCCCACTTGGTTGTCTCTATCATTCACTACCACATCGCCATCAAGCGAATCGAAGCGTTCGTCCACTTAGTATTGCCACTAGGTGTGGCATGCATCCAGTGACTCTCCAAGGGGGGGGGGGGTTGTAAATGATTTTAGACAGCAATTTGGGAGACAAGAGTTGGTAACTTCGCAGAAACGCCTGGGTCGCCCCTTCAAGACCATGGGCGACCTCCGACTGAGAGGACTGTTCTAAGTTTTGTACCAAGAGCTTTAACGGTATATAAATCGCATCGTGATTTTAAAGGTACTGGTTGCTATCCTTAGCAATGATACTAGAACGTCTGCAGACGCGTGTTATTGGCAGCCATAGCAAGTGGTAGTTCAACTACCCGCTGCTCTAAGTAGGCTAGAAGCAGCTCAAGATTGACAGCGTTCTACGTGAACACGACGAATTATGCAGAATCTATTGGCTGCTCGGCTGTGCATCCGACCCATCGGGGTGTCCTCTGCATTTATGTCTGTCCATCGGTTCATCCTAGTTTCCGTGCAGCATACCCGTGAAGGCTGGGTTTACCGACTGGAAAGCACGCATAACGGCCATGGTAACTACCGGATACCCCATTATAGCATCATGCAAGCCAGTCTTCAGGATCTGCTCCCGGATGATGCCATTGTCGGTCTTCCATTCCATGACAGTGCCAGCAGCACCAAGGTCTACTTTGGTGGCTAATTTCTTAAGCTCTAGCTCATCATAGCTGATGCCTTCAGGTACAGTTCCCCAGACTGCATGCCAGAACATGGCCTGGCTGTGGTGAGAGGGAATGTCGTAGTCGTCTTCGGCGTGGATGATGGTGAGGTGGTATTTTTCCCCATTCAGTTCGTTAGCCCGCACATACTCCGCAATGCGATCTTTGCTTGGCCACTTTTCCCGAATAAAGCGCTGCAGGGATTCGAAAAGCCATGGGAAGTGCGCAAGTGGAGACAGGATCGGAATGATGCCCGCCACACGATAGGTCGAAACCAACGTCGCAACATCGACAAACGGGGCCACCAGCACGGTGCCAGCAAAGACCACGGGCGGAGATTGGACAGCAAGGTCGCGGGTGATGGCAAGGCTGACGGCAGTCCCCATAGACTGACCGAAGATGAGAATGCGAGAGGGGGGAATGCCAGCGACCGTCATGGCCCAGTCGGCCACCGCACGGGCGTCGGTGATCAGGCCCGCCTCCGAGGGTTGACCAGTACTCCGCCCAAACCCCCGATAATCGAAAGTGAGAACATGGATCTTGTCTGGCTGTCCAGCGGACAGCGCCCGGTAGTTAGGAACGCGATATCCCGAACCCACCGTGCCCCCGGCACCATGCATGTGCAATATCAGGCGAGCATCAGGATCGTCGCGCAGAAGCTGGAAGGAGAGCCGGGAGGTGATTTCGGAGACCAATCCTGTGGGCTCCGCAACCAGGGACTGTTCGTGTTGGCGGTACAGTTCCACCGGCAGGATGTGCCAGACGTAAAGTTTCTCCCCATCGGGGGTCCGGATTGTAAAAGGGGTGACCTGGTTGCGTAGAAAGCCAAAGGTTTCAGGGACATTGAGGTCTTTAAACCATGTCATTTCAATGGCATGCAAGTACACCACGTGGGATTGGAATGTTTGCGTTGTCAGTAGGCCCAACAGCGTCGCGTATAAGCCGACCGCGATGGCGGCCGAAAAAGAAGCATTCTTGAGTAGAAAGGCTAGAAGGCTATTTGCCGGCATGATGAAGCTGTAATGGTTTCAGCACCCAGATAATTGATAGACTGATCGTAGGATAGGTGCAAAGATCTGGGGGTCAAGGGAAATAAGGGGTTTTTAGAGGGATCATGAATAATAATAACAAACATCCTTGTGCTGCCGAGCGGCTTTTGCGACCGTCAGGTTGGCTGCGCTGCGGTCCCCTGTGTACCTTTCGGAGATCGCCATCGCGGCTGCAATCTAGATAGCTGGAATGGGAGCTTTAGTTCCACAGTATGACAAGAATGTCATCGAGTGAAGATGAGTACCTCTATTATCTTCGTCCAGTGAGAAATGGGAGCAAAGGGCAAGAAAAATCTACGAAACAAATGACTGGCAGCTGCCAAGGCGTTGTCGTTGCCTGAGGCACCGTAAAAATGCGCCCCAAGACAGTAAGTCGGCAGAAGAAGCATCGTAGCAGTGGGATCACATTATGCCTGCGGTATCTAATTCTCTTAGGATGATATGTCTCAATTCTTCAGATGCTGGACAGGCACCAGTACCAGTAAGGAAGAGTGGTAGCCAGCCGCTCGCTTTCTTTTGGCTGTGGTACTAACGCAGTTTATGTATCACACCCGACTACTAAATTTACTGTTGGTACCCAGAACTACTACGTACTTCTTGTTGTCCCCGCTGCTATTGCCATTGGCTTACCACCATGTCTGGTGGAATCATTGTCACTTGAGTCAAAGCTTTTTCATATCAAGGTATAATCCAGATTGCTCAACCGGAGCTAATGTACCTTGAATATCTCGTATATCCATTCCAGCCTTCCAGCCTCTCGGGCCTTCGATGAGACCGATAAGCCGAAGACCGAACACATCAGCAGCCCCTCCAGTTCATTCAACCACTATATATCTGACCGAACAGCATGTATTTGTAGTATCTTTCAGTTTTCCCATCATATTCTGACATCTTACCAGTATAAGCCTTCTTCCGTCCTGTCAACATGTCTCGTCGCACTGTCGTTGTCATCGGCGCCACGGGCTCACAGGTCCGTTGCATGCTTAGATCTTGCTAAACATTGCAATATATTTCTTCTGATCGCTGATACGTCTACAGGGAGGTCCTGTCGCTAGGGAGCTCTTGAAAAGCCCGCATCTGTACCATGTCAGGGCTTTGACGCGCGATCCGAGCAAGCCAGCAGCACAAGAGCTGGCAGAACATGGGGCAGAAGTTCAGGCGTTTGATCTAAATGCCGGCATCGACGTTCTTCTTCGGGCGTTTACGGGCGCCGATGCTATCTTTGCTATGACAGACTTTTGGGCAACACGGTCAGCCAAGGCAGAAGCTACCCAGGGCCGAACCATTATAGACGCCGCAGCTCAAACCTCTACCGTCCAGCATTTTACTTGGAGCTCGCTCCCTGATCCTGAGAGGGTTTCCGGGGGCATCTTAAAAAACATTCACCACTGGAAGAGCAAGAGTCTAGTTGCAGACTACATACAGCAGCAGTATCCAGAGTTGTGGGGCAAGACTACGGTTGTGCTCTTTCCCAATTATTTTGAGAACTGCCTGTCTCATCCTGAACGTTACCTCTCACAACCTGTTGGTTCTCCCAAGTTACCTAATTACTACATAATTGAGACTTGGCATACAATCTTACCAGGTGATTCTAGGATGCGCAAGGCGTGTATCATATGTACTTGCCGCACAGCCCGTCTACTGTCATGCCGAACGGATCGATTCGTGACACAGGCAAGCTTGTCCGACTAATCCTGGAAGATGGAGTCACGTACTTCACAAAGACCGTGGCTTTCTATAGTGAAGCCATTTCGGAGGCAGAGAAGCAAGCCATGATTGGTAAAAGTAACTACCCCTACCCAACTTTCTATCTGGCGTTACATGACCTGTTGGACTTACGAAGAATCTTCCAGAATATGGGTTACAGACAGTTTACCATGTGATAAGTCCCGATGAGCATCAAAAGAAGCTGGAGAGTCAAGGTCTGTCTCCTGAGATTGCTCTGGATTATACCGAGCAGCTCTTGATGTTTGAGAAGTTTGGAAACGTGTGTGATGCATCAGAATACATCCAGGCCAAAGAGGTACGTAAAAACTTCCAAATAGAACTGACCAATACACGGGAACTAATCGACACAACCCAGATTCCAGGTCTTCGCCTGCAGTCGTGGGCGGAGTTCCTAGAAGAAAATGACATTCTTGCAAACATGGAGGCTGTCTGATGAATCTCAGCATATACTGCAGACATGATAAGGTCTATGCGTCTGGGACATAGAAATCGCAGAGCACTTTCATGAGTTTGATACATTCAAATGACCCAAATAATAGATTCCCTGCCCATCCCCCCTCTGCCTGAGGCAATGACGGAGGATTATTTATCCGAGGAAACCGATCGGGGGAGAACAGAGACCCTATTTAATGACTTAAAGAGTTCTTAATGAACTGACAACCATGCGTCCTCTATTTAAGAGTGTATCAGCAGAAGCAGTAGACTTCAAATTTAGCAGAACGGACCTTTTTCCCAAGAGTGGACCATACCCGGCCGGATACCAAGTCAAGTCTGACCGATAAGCCTTGAGAGGATCAGCAGAGGATCCACTGGCGAGACTGACTGGTTATACTCGTGTACAGACATGCAAGTAGCACAAAGGTAGATCAACCAACAACCACGGTTACACAGTGCATGGCAATGGACCTTCAGGGGTTCCTTTTGATTTGAAAGGATCAGAAGTAACTTTTTCTTTCGTACCACCTGCATGCCGGATACCTGGATTCCCGGACCGGTTCAGCATTCCATTTCCTGCAGTGTAACTGGTTCCTCATGAATCGCATCGTCATGCTCATCTTCATCTTTCATCATGTCCCTACTTTTTGCAGAGTTCTGCATTGTCCCTACACATTTATCATTTTCAGCTGTACATCATGATCCACCCATCCACTCTGAGTGGTGTGCCTTTCGGAACACGAGTACCCCAACGCACTCGTCGCCCGCAGTAATGGGAAGATAGAATACTTGCTGGGCATGATTCACGGGCGGATCCCTTTCACTTCCATCCGCAGGATTGCTTACGGTCGAGGCGCCTGTCATTTGTCCGTCCGTCTGGTCCTGTGGGGGGGGGGGGGGGGGGGGCCCCCCCCCCCAAAAAAAAACCCCAAAAAAAAAAAAAAAAAAAAAAAAAAAAAAAAAAAAAAAAAAAAAAAAAAATTAAGTGGAAAAGTGGATCAGGTTAGCGAAGGATGGGCACTGCCCGATGCCATCTGACCCAAGGTTTCAGTGCCCTATAAATGCAACCCCGAGCCACATGGGATTCAGTGATATCCCAAGTGACATCCATTTACCCATCATCACAATATGGCCACCTTTAAACCGCTCCTCCCACCCCGAGCTGTCCCACGCGACCGTGGCGATGGCCCGACTCCCCTGCCCGACTCCGCGGGCTCTTTCTCGCCTATGGTTCGCGACAACCTCACCCTCTCCTCGTGGCTCCTCCTAGGCGGGCTCGTGCAAGGCTGTGCATTTCTACTGCTGGGTTCCCTCTCCCTGCTTCCGACCGCGGCGATCCTCCTCTACAGAACCATCGACCATCTGCTGATGGCCTGCCACCTGACCCCCAACCGGTATTTGGCAGGATCCATCCCTATCAAGCGCAGTGCTCAGTATCCCCGGCCCGATGGCAGCTTTGGCAGTGAACCGGCGGGCGAGTCTATCGTGGTCTTCCATTTGGGTGCACGCTGCCACCATCCTCTCGGGCTACTCGCCCCAGGCATGAAGGAATTGGGCGACAGCGCCGATAAGATGCGACGGGACATGCGCGCCAACCCTGTCAAGTACGGTCTATTGGGCTCCTCGCACTGGCTGAAGAGCGACAGTGCAGCGGGTAATGAGTCCATGACCGTCTTCTACCTCCGCGACTACGCTGCTCTCCATCAGTTCGCCCACGATGAGATCCACATGGAAGGGGTGCGCTGGTGGGCTCGCATCGCAAAGGACCATCCGCATCTGGCCATTTACCATGAAACCTACCTGGTGCCGCGCGGAAACTGGGAGAATATTTACATTAATGGCTGGCCGACGGGGCTGGCCGATACCTGGTTTCCTGTGCAGACTCAGGCTGACAAGGAGAAGAATACCGGAGTGGTTGAGCAATGGGTGCGACCGTTGGTTGATGCGCGTGACGGTGCCTTACGGTCGGCCAGTAAGCGGCTGCAGTTGACACGCTTGGAGGGTCGTGAGAAGGAGCACGATGATATGTATAACCAACCTGAGGGCCTGTGATCGGCAGCTACAAGATTATCACCGCAGGAATTCTCATGCACCTCTCCTCTCCACATTTGTGATCTCTTCGATTTAGCGATTTTCTATCGTAATCCCATGATGTGCACTGAATCTGTCTCCCACTGCTTCGCCCGTATCCTTAATCCCCCAGGAAGAAACTAGAGCGGACTAACTTCCTTCGAGCCTGCTGCGGTGGTGTTAGTGGCCGCGCTAGACGGCGGATGTCTGGATGCCAATCAATCACATTGCAGACATTTTGGGTCCGACCACGATCCGCTGGCCTATCCTCTGCTAGCCACGTTAGTTTTTCTAGGCGTGACTCGACCTTTTGGTTCCCCTGGCGTATCGCCAGGACTCTGAAACAGCAAACCCCCGATTGAGCCTCCCCGTCGATAGGAGCATGGACAATCCCAACACACTGGTACCATTCCGTTCGGAATCTATGCGCCGTCGATCCGGTTGCAAGAGATCGAGAACCGGATGTCGCACTTGTCGGTAGGTCTCCGAGAACGACCCAGGTTCTCATCGGCTACTACTGACTCAAGGCAGGGCTCGCCGTGTGAAATGTGATGAAACCCCCGGCGCATGCCAGCGATGTACCTCCACCGGTCGCGTTTGCGATGGCTACGAACTGCAGAGGCTTCCCTTGGTGAAAGATTCATGGTCCAAGATCAGCGCTGACTTGGGGAGTGGATTTCGATGGACCATCACATCCGATGAACGCCGCTGTTTCTCCTACTTCCAATACCATACGGTGCCTACCTTCCGCGAGATGTACGACTCCTCTCTCTGGCAGCACCTAGTGCTGCAGATGGGGCAGTCTGAGCCAGCCGTCTATCATGCGACCGTGGCCCTCAGCGCCATTCACCAAGACGCCGAAGCCCGAGGGATGCCTTTGGCTGCCAACCTGCCCGCGACGTATCAAAGCCCCTGGCTGCGCTTTGCGCAAGAGCAGCTGGGCCGCGCCTTTCAGACCCTCACGAGGCGCCGGGCCTCACCCGATCCCCGATTGCGCAACGTAACCCTGCTCTGCTGTCTGCTCTTCGTCCTGTGTGACCTGCTTCAGGGGCACTACGATGATGCCTTTACCCATCTTCAAAGTGGCCTGCGCATCCTCCGCGAGCTTCAGGCGGAGCGAGAATTGGTGGCGCTCACACCCCGGCAGGGGCGAGTTGAACGGTGTCTGGTCGCGGCCTTTGCGCAAATCGACATCATTTCCGCCCACTATGGAGTCGGAGGGCCTCTGTTATGCATCGATTCCCTGCCCGGAGAGTGGCAGTTGGCACCGACTTCGGCGGCCCCCTTTGCTACCCTGGACGATGCCTGCGCTGCCTTCAACCTTGTCACGAGTGCTGCGTATCGTTTGGAGAACTCATGTATGGGGATGTCGGAGCAGGAAATCGCGCGCAACTACGGCACCATTCAGTCAAACCGGCTGCGGGCCCGCTCTCTCGCATCACGTTTCTGGCAATCGTTCGAGCCATTTTACCGGACCTCTTACCATCTCCTGGATCGTAAAGAGCAGAGGAGTGCCGAACTTCTTCACCTCCAATACCTCGGCATTATGGTGTCTCTGGAAGTAAACACGCAGGGACACAACGAAGCCGTCATGGCTTCCTTCACACCAGACCTGGAGGAGATCGTCTCTTTTGCCGAGTCGATTATGGACCGGTTCCCTGAGCGTCCTACCGTCAGTATCAACCTGGGCGTCGTTCAACCATTGTACCTTGGGGCCATTGCCTCTCGCGATTATCGCATCCGATGGCGAGCCATTAAACTGCTGCGTGCGTGGCCGCATCGCGAGGGGCCATTCGACTCGAATTGGATCCTCGCACTGGCCGAGGAGACGCTGCGTTTGGAATTGCTGGCTGATCCGGGAGTTAGTGTGCCAGAAGATGCTGATTCGGCTTCGTCTCAAGACGATGAATTTGCGCCTAATCGCATGCTGCAGGACTTGACTCAACGACATTCGCTACTCAAGCAAATGTTGGCCCCAACGGCAGAGGATTTGGACGATGGAGCATCCCCAGCAGACTTGCTAGGCTCGGTCAAATGGGCGGCTGACTGGTCATGCATGCGTGTGTTTAAGGCGAGGTTTTCAGATCACTAAAGCTTGTTCCGATCTAGCGTGATGATGTTGTAACTTACTAGCCTCGACATACACTGTCCTGCACTTGCGATATCTTAGCGGCAAATTCATGCAGTAATCATGACAAAGCTCGTGTCCACAATCAAGCTCGTATCCTGCAGAGTGCTAGAATGAACGGCTGATTCCTTCGCCTCAACACAAGCACTAGCCCATGACTCAGGAAGCTATTCTGCAGAAGCTAAACTGGCTTAGGCTCTTCTAGTCTTGATTCAGACTACCGTCGCTAACTAGTAGCTGAAGAAAATCCAGTTGGGTGGATATGAGGCTAAAGGCTAGGGTCCTTGGCTCCTCCACTTCGGCTTCCTTTTATCCAGCTCGGATTGTGATTACGCGTCCTGGATGGCTGCCAGCCTAGCATCATCGCGGTTGTTCATGGCTTCGGAAGAAGTATTGCCCACTGGGTCTCTGCTACCGGTGAAGAATCGTCTATATAAGGACATCGCATGCCCAACAAACTCCTCCATAATCGCTCAGAAATACCATTAGCAAAAATGAAGGCATCATTCACAACTACTATCCTCTCTAGCCTTGCTGCCATCGGCAGCGTAGCTGCCAACCCTCTGCGTCCGCTAGGGGACCTGGTCAAGCGCAATCCCGACGGCAACTTCACCCTCTACGCCTATGGACTTACCTCCGAACCCGTCAAGTTATTCTACGCTGATGGTAAGACCACCCCTCACCATACCACTATCATTGATACTGACTGAACCAGGACTTGCCTACTTCGGCACCGCCTCTGACTGGACCTACGGCTCTGTCGTGACCGACATCACCAGTTAGTCCCCTCTCCTCCCCCTTCAAGACACATGGCAGCACTAACCCCACACAGTGACCTACAGCTCCGACGAAGTCTTCGCCGAAGCTCTCACCGAGGGCGTGGCCCTCCCCGACGATACTCTACTGTACATCCGCCCCAACGCGGACGAGGTCACCGAGGTTGGCTTCACGGGCGATGACACCCCCTCGGATGCCGTAACTGATCAATGGATCTGGTATGGGGGCTGGATCATGTATGAGTCCGACTCTGGGGAGCTGTTTGATACGTTCTATGTCAAGGATACAAATGTCTCGACGGTGTGGCAGCTGTATTGGGTGCCTGAGGGGGTGTCGAGCAGTGGTTATACATCTGCGAATGTGCGGGATGTTGCTTGATGTCCCTTTGCTGCACAGTGATTGGCAATGAGTGGGGGATGGGATGCTTATTACTGAATGACAGTGTAATTGGGAATAGCATCTAGTGATGGTATGTACTATTGTGAGAGGTTCCTTTGGATAGTCCGAAGCAGAGGTTATTATGCTCATCCAGTATGAAATCTAAACTCTTGCCCACTTCTAGTTTATGTATCTTGATCAGTAAAGCATGCAATAATAATAGCATAATCATGACATTCTATATCCAGAACTCCGTACCCAAAGCAAATCTATAATATAAGAACATCACAATCTAGAAACATGCCAATTCTAACCACTATTCACTCCTCAGCTCCGTCAATCTCTTGCCAAAGTACCTCTCCACCTTCTTGTTCTCTCCCCCAACACTACCCGCCATCCCCCTCATCCTCTCCTTAATAGCACCATATCCCTGCCCAGAAACAATCATCCCCAACGCCTCCAAAATCAACTTCTCCACACCCTGAATCCTCTCCTTCTCAATACACTCCGTATCATGTTCCAACCGCATCAAAATAGTCCGATCAGAAATGGCACAAAACTCCACCAACAGCGCAAACTTCGACCCCTTCGTATACGTAACCAACGGATCGAGTCCCTCGACCGGTAACTTTGGCGACGAGCGATCATCATGGAAAGTAACCATGACATCCAACAAGGGATGGTTCGGGAAATCAGTCATCTCGGAAGCACCCACCGCCTCCAGCAACTGGTTCCATGGAATGGCATGCGCAATGGCCGACTGGCTGGACCGTTGGACGGCACGAACAAACGACTTGGTCGATGCGGCGGTCGGATCCCGCGACGCCGAGAACTGAATACGAATAGGGATGGGTTCTAGAAACAATCCGACCGTGTCGAGATCGTCCTGTCCTCGGTTGAAGTATGGTCCGCCCAGGACGACGTCCGTGTCGTCGCGATGAGACTGCAGGGCTAGTGCCACCGAGGCCAGTGCTAGCTGGTGCAGTGTGACGCTGTTCGTCTCGGTGTATTGAATGGCTTGGGTGGCGAGGGTCTTGTTCAGGCGGACAAGGTGTGTCTGGCCGCCGTAGCTGGAGCGGTGCGTCAGGTTGGGGATGCTGTATAGGGCTTCCCGCTGGATGGTGGTGTCGCCGAGGTATTGCGCCCACCAGTCGCGCTCGTTGGCGGTCGCTTGGGTGCTCCATTGCGTTGTCTCGTGGTAGTTGCGCTTCACGGGGCCGAGGCCATCGCCGCGGTACAGACGGACCACTTCGCCCAGAATGACCTGTAGGGTGGTGAGATCGGCGATGAGATGGCTCATGGCGACGAGCATCATGGACTTGGAGACGATCACTCGGATCGGGTGCTGGCGATCAAGGTGGAAGGGTCTGTTGGCTTCGCGCCAGAGGTTGAAGCCGTGGACGCGCATGACCTGCGGACAGTAGCGAGCGTAGGTGCGTCGGGGTCCCTTGCCGCGGTAGTCGAGGTGGGAGCGACTGCGGAAGATGTCGTGGCGAGCGAGCACGGCGTTCCAGCAGGCGATGAGGTGCTCGCTGTCTACCTTGGTGCTGTCAATCTTGCAGGCGAAAGTGACATTGAAGGCGGACGTGCCGAGTTGCAGCTGGTACTTCTCCAGCCATTCCCGTTCAATGGGGGATACCCGGTTGCGACCGAGGGGTTTGATGGTGGATGCATCCGGGGAGGAGATCTGAGAGACGAGGCCGTCTACTGTCTGGGCCAGTTCGGAGAGGTTCGCGGCTTGGATGATGCGTGGGACGGGCACCTTGACCCCGAAGGTTTGGGAGACTCTGCTGGCGAGACGGAGTTGCATGACGGAGTGGCCGCCCAGCTCGACGAAGTTGGATTCCGGGGTGAGGGCATCGCTATCTGAGCCCAGCGAGAGTAGATCCTTCCACAACTCGGCAAGGGAGTGCTCCGTCTTGCTGGAGAGGGTGCGCTTGGCGGCTAGTTGAGCTACCACTGTGCACTGGTTGGCGATCTCCTTGTAGTCGAGCTTGCCGGCAGGCGTCATGGGGAACTTGTCGACGACCATGATGCGACGGGGCATGGCGTGCACCGGCAGCACCTGGGACATACGCTGGCGGACATCGGTGACCTTGAGGGTCTCTGGCTGGATCATGGCAACGAGGTAATCGTCCTTGGGGCAAATAGCGACGGCGGTGGACTCAGGAATAGCATTGGCCACGCGAATCTCCAGATCGTTGAGATCAGTGCGGTAGCCACGCAGCTTGATCTGGCGATCATTGCGACCGAGACATTCAACCTGGCCGAGCCGGTTGAAGTAGCCGCGGTCTCCAGTGCGGTACATCTTCTCGCCTGGGCGTGCAACAATGTTGTCGGGCAGGAACCGCTCCGCGTTCAACTCAGGACGACCGATGTAACCATTGGCTACCTGCACACCGGCGCAGTAGATCTCGCCGACCACTCCGGGAGGGAGAAGCTTTCCGTTCTGGCCGAGGATGTAGATGCGCGTGGTGGCGTTAGGTCCGCCGATGGTGACGGGCTGGCCGGGGAGCAGGCGTTGGATGGTGGCACCGCAAGTGGCTTCGGTAGGGCCATACATGTTGTAGAGGGTGGTGGCGCTGGACCAAACGTCGTTGACATACTGTGGCACGGGTTCACCGACGAGGTAGACGGTGCGCAGCTCGGGGAACTGCTCAGGCAGAAGGATCTTGGCCACGGAAGGGGTCAGGATGGCGGCGTTGCTCTTTTTCAGGTGGGCAAATGTATCGGCGCCATCAGCCAGTATCAGGGTAGCGCCGTAGCAGAGAGCCGAGAAGATCTCGTGGATGCTGCCGTCAAAGGCGGGCGACATGAGCTGCGAGATGCGCTGGCCATGACCGGCGAAGAGTCGGACCTCGAGGTCTTTCTGGAAGGCTACGAGACCGGCGTGGTGGCACATTACTCCCTTCGGCTTACCGGTCGAGCCGGAGGTGAAGCACAGATAGGCGTTGTCTTCGGGCTGAGGGGCGGAGCGGTGGTGGGGAGTGAAGTTGTCGGGGATACTGGCGATCAGTTCCTCGACGGAGTAGCACAGGTTACATGCTTCGGGAGCAAGATGCTTCTGGGACGTGGCAGGCGTGAGGTACAACTTCCCACCGGCTGTCTGAAAGTTGGTGTTGCGGATGTGGTCGGGCAGACCAGGGTCCTGGGCAGAGTAGACGCCACCAGCCTTGAGAATGCCGTAAATAGAAACGATCCAGTTGATGGACCGGTCGGCCAAGACGCAGACGACTTCGCCAGGTTGAATCTGCAAGTTTGCAGCCAGGATGCTGGCCTGTCGATCCACCTCCGCGTATGTCAACTGAGTGCCAGCCTTTTCCACAGCGATGCCGTTGGGAGTCTCGCGGACAGCGCGTTCGAAGAGCGTGACGAGGTCGTCGTGGATGGAGCACAAGGAGGTCGAGTCAGTCTGGCAGTTCCCCATCTGCATGAGGGTCTCCTTGCAGTTGTCGGTCAGGATGTTCTTCATGCAGCCCTCCACGGTCTGCTCAGACAAAAGCAGATTCAGTGCATGATGGAAGTGGTCTGCAAGCATCTGAATGTCCTCACGATGGAACTGTTGTGGCCGGAAGCACAAACGCAGAGTGCCAGTGTAAGTCGTGTAGATCGACAGCGGAGTGTCGGGCACGACGCGGAACCATGACTCCTTCACGGGTCGGACTGCGTGACTGTCAGATGCCTGCATTTCGAACTCCATCGCCAGCGCAGAGGTGAAGTTGCGGGTGTATCCGTCATCCGGGACGGAACTCTGTACTGATGCCAGCTGGACTGAGTGGGCAAACACCGCACGGAGATACTCCGCAGTCGACAATTTACGGTCGATGGACACATGGAAGGGCAGGACGTTGATCAGCGGCCCAATGGTATCCTCAATGCCTGCGATAGGCAGGTTACGACCAGCCAGGACGGTGCCAAATACAACAGAGTCAGAGTCGGTATACAGAGAGAGTGCCATGGCCCAGGCAGCGTGATACCAGGCAGACAGAGATACACCAATTTGACGAGCACGAGTGGAGATCTCTTCCAGGGGAACATTGAAAGTGACATTGTCGATACCCGCAGGCATCTCTTCACGGACTGGAGGAAGAACGAGTTCAGCGGCAGGCTGGGGATGCTTCTCCCGCTGCTGTGCCCAGAATTGCTGGTGAATTTGGCGATGTTCCTGTTGAAAGACACGGAGTCGGCTAGCCACCTCGCCGAATGGGGCACCGGCGGTAATAGCACGACCATTGATGACATCGCGGACTTTGCCGTAGACAAGCTGACCAGACATCCCGTCGACAAAGGCGTGGTGGACACGCCAGATGACCGTGCTGATGCCTGCTGAAGGCAATGTCACAACCTCAAATGCACACTGAATGGTATCCGGGTAAACGTCCCGCGCGATGGCAGCGTCATAGTCTTCCTGCGAGTCGACCACTGTCTCCGTCCACGTGAAAGGTGCCAAGGGTGTTTCATGGCAGGCATCTGACTCGAAGGACATGCGGAAGATGGGCTCGGTCTGGATGACAGCCTGCCAGGCGGCTTTGATGACAGGCAGGTGGGCCGTCTGGTATGTTTCGTAGAAGTTGATCATGTTGGAACCCGGGGTCGTTTCGTGGCTGTGCAGAAATGACATCTGCATTTCTGTCAGGGCAGATGCTGTGTTGCTGCGAGGCACATCCTTCTGAACAGTGGCTGACTGTGTCTGGGTTGTTGCAGCTTGGTAGATGACAGGCACATGGTTCGTTACTGAACCCTCAACAACGGCGGAAGCCACGAGCTCGGCCATGCTGCTGCTCAGGAGAATAGACTCCATGGTCAAGGCAATACCGTCGCGCTTACATGCGGAGGCCAGCCCCAAGGCAAGCAATGAATGACCACCCAGGTTGACGAAGCTGGACTCCAGGTCCACGCTCTCAAGGGGAAGTTGAAGAAGCCGGGCGGCATGGGAGACGATGATCTGTTGGGACTGCATGATGCTGAACAAATGCTAAACAAGAAAGGTGCTAATGATACAAGTCCTCAAGTGGTGTGTAATCTTAAGGGATTCTAGACGATTGAGGGGAAAGACTGATGTTTTCGCTGTGTTGCTGCGCTGATGATAGAGTTGATGCCACGAGCAGACTCCTCTGCTTTTATGGTTGTCCATTTCGTATAGCTTCACTTCCAAGCCGCCTCAAGTTACTCAGTCTGCCAGACGCCTTAGACTCTCCTCCGATGACGCCTTTCGTTTGGACGACAAATCCGGCAGGATCCCTCCCATCTCCGAAAACGTGGCCGCCAGGATCTTGCAGGATTCACGATGTGAGTCGAAGTATGAGTCGAGATGTGAGCTGAGATGTGCCTGCGGAATTGGTACCCGCTAGTTTCAGAACACGAACGGTTGAATTTGGCCCCCAAACCCGCGATCGATGATCGTACGGGGGCCCCGACTCGTGTTAGAGTAAGCATTTACGGAATCGCCCCAGAATCTGCAGGATTTCGGATCCGTTGTCGGATCCGGCATGCCTTATGCTTCATCTGACAAGTCGTTGTCTCTTCCCTGCCATCGAAGTGGGCTAGAATCACCTTATTTGCCTATAAATAACACACTTTGCTCGTCCTAACCGGTGACTTTCCATCAACATCCACATCCATCCAGCTTCTCAACTGCATCTCCATCTCAGACACATCAACCCTCACAATGACTCCTCCCAAGATTGCAATCATCGGCGGTGAGTCGATTCCTTTGCCAATGTTATAGTTCAGGGCTGACTTCACTAGCGGGCCCTGCCGGTCTTACTTTGGCCCGTCTGCTGCAACACAACAGCATCCCCTGCATCGTCTACGAGGCAGAGGAGAACCGCCATGCTCGCACACAGGGTGGCTGTCTGGACATCCACGAGGGGTCTGCACAAGTCGCTCTGCGGGAGTGTGGTCTTTTCGAAGAGTTCCTTGCAGTTGCCCGCACGGAGGGTGAGGTGTTGAAGATTTACCAGCCCGACGGTGCACTGCTGCTCGATGAAGGTTCCGATTACGGCGAGAAGCGCCCAGACTCTTTCAACGGACGTCCAGAGGTCGACCGGGTCAAGCTGCGCAGCATGCTCATTGATTCGCTCGAATGGGGCAGTCTGCGCTGGGGCCACAAAATCAAGAAGGTCACGACTGAAGCCACGGGCACCCGTCTGCAATACGACCTGCACTTCCACGACCACACCGAGACCGGGTTCGACCTGGTGGTTGGCGCCGACGGGGCCTGGAGCAAGGTGCGCCACTTGCTCACGGACACCCGGCCCATTTTCTCGGGCATCTCTGGCGTGGACTTCAAGTACAGCGCCATCGACGAAAAAGACCCGGCTCTGGCCCAGCGCGTCGGCAAGGGCATGTGCCTGACTCTCGGCAGCCACACGACTGTACTGTCGCAGCGGAACGGCGATGGCTGCGTCCGGACCTACGGGTTCATGCGGCTGCCGGAGGACTGGCACACGACGTGCGGCATCGACTGGACCCAGCCGCAGCAGGCCAAGCGAGAGTTTGTCGATCGCTACTATGAAGGGTTCAACGATGACTCCAAGAATCTCATGTTGGAAGCCGACGACGATTTGGTGCCTCGCCCCATGTACATGCTTCCCATCGGTCACAAGTGGCAGCACCGTGCAGGGTAAGTTTCAGTTCTCTTCCTGTTGCTGTTTCTCTTCAAACAAGTTGGGCTGAGCTAATTTTGGTTTTAGTTTGACTCTTATTGGCGATGCCGCCCACTTGATGACACCATTTGCGGGAGTTGGCGTGAATGTGGGGATGGAAGATGCTCTAGAGCTGGCACGGGCCATCATTGCGCGCAAGAGCACTTGGGAAGATGGCCAGCCCTTTGCAGGTGCGAATAGTCTCTCCGCCGCAGTGGGGCAATACGAACAGGCCATGTTCCCTCGTGCTGAAGGCTACGCCCGTGAGACGTGGATGTATCTGAACCTGTTCTTCAACGAGCGGGGCGGTCATGCCATGTGCGAACACTTTGCCAAAGCGAAGGAGCAGGCTAAGGAGGCTGCAGTGGAGAAGAAGCCTGAAGAGGCGGAGAAGACTGGGAAGGTGAAGGAGACGGTGGTGGAGAAGGCTATTGCTGTGGAGTAAATCTGTCATCTGTTATCTGTTTCTAGAGCTATACCCAATTTAATCTTTTTCTTCATCCACTTGTCTCCATAGTAAATCTTGGCGATCGATTCGATGTAACGTAGTTGTGTGGCTGTGGACCTGCTCGCGATTACTTTCCTTGTGGATATATAAGTTTTGCAGAGTTGGAGATTGGAGAAGCGGCTCAGAAAGGATTCCCCGTGCAGAGCCAACACTCTGGGCATTGACAGGCGATTGGGGGCCAGCCAGACGTTGTTTGAAAGTTATCAGTAGACCCTGACTGTCGATCACCATAGCCGATGTTTCAGATGTCAACTTTATTCACGGGTTATTTTTCCAGAAACTCTGCCTTGCCAGCTGTCATAAACCCTATGATAAAATGCCAGGCTGCAAACTTCAATAGTCCTCGAAGTATTGACTGGGATATCGACTAGTGTCAGCCTTGTGTGACCCGGTGATAAGCTTAACAGAGGGAGATAATCTAAAAATAATGACGGGATAGCAGGGCAGGAGGCGCACATAAGCTTCTCGTATTGCCCGCACAGCCGATAATCAACAACAGAGATGATGCTGCTGACTGTCTCTGTGTCAGAGTTATTGCTTTGATGAGTCAACTGCATTACCAACTGGCCGTTATTGATCATGTGAAAGCTCCGAGGATAACCGTTTTACTTGGCAAGACATTTTGTGAAACTTAGAAAAATATTCAATGCTGTTTTAACTCCAGACTATCGAAACTATCTAGTTTAACCCGCAAATCAACAGGAGTGCTCAGTGGTCCTTCCACAATGCAATCTCGTAAGCAAAACACAAAACTATCGAAGCAGAAAGATACTATTTCCGACGCTGTTCACTAGTAAGAGTGAGGCCCGTTCATCTCTCCCGTCATCTTTCCTTCCGCCTTCAAGATGGCCGTGATGTTGTTCATGGCGCTCTCGTGGAATCCCGCAAAGTCTGCCCAGCATTAGTAACACAACCAGTAGTCCTCGGAAGCAATAAGACGTACCGTAAGCAGAGGAGAAACAGGCATAGATGTTCCACAGCATGTACGTCTCCTTCTTACCAATGGCGTGCACATCCACCCACTCCCAGGTGCCACCAAGCTGTCCAGCGGGTCCGGAAGTAGTGTTGTAGTAGAAGGGCACGTCAGCCAGTCCGAAGGTGAGCTGGTAGCCCTTGTTGCGCGGCAGCCACTTGAACGTCCTCAACTAGTGACACAGTTAGCCGTGCTCAGATCCTTGCCTGAAAGTATCTCTCTCACCTCTTCGGTCATCGGATACACGCCCGCGTTGGGAAGCTCTCCATACAGAACACGCTCGGCTCCCGGAGTGTAAGGCTCGCCATGGGTCTCGGTGGGACTGGTACCAAACCAGGCGGTTTCAAAGACTATCCCAGTCAGTCATTGCATATGGGGCAAGCATGAGGTTTCACAAACAGTTGGCAGTAATGTCCGAGATATCCTTTGCGGGCACTGGCCAGGTCGCCCAGCTGGTGGAGTTTTGCAAGAAGGTGCCCGCAGGACACGAACAAGGACGAGGGGTCGTGTCGCAGGCAGGTAGGACCTTGTTGTTGCCCCCGGTTGGCAGGGCCAGGGCCGAGAAGACGAAGGTTGCAAAGGCAAGAGGGAAGTACATTGTGGCTGACGGAGATGGAGATGATATTGTAGAGATTTAGATCGACAGAAGGTCGCTGGGAGTTTGATTCCTTGAGGTGATTGCTGTGATTGAAGCGTTGAGACTGTTCATGGAGGTTCATCAACTTCCAGTCTGGTTCTTTATATACTTCTTCAACGCTCTCATTTCAGTCTTGACCATTGTAACTTCCTTGGTCTCGGCCCCCACTGGCTTGAATCCTGTCTACATGTGCCTCTTGGTATGACTCCTGATCCGGTCCGGTGTAGCGAAGGTGTACCAGTACTGGCATTGTAGTCTCAGCAGAGGAATGTATCGAGAAGCATAGCCACCTCCCCGCTCGTGATACGAACTTCATCCTTCGTATCCTTTGTCCAAAAATGCTAGGCATGACATAACATTGAAGTCAGTTTATCCGGTTGTTGATTGGATACTGATGGGATGGTTCCGCACGGATGGGATCCATAGTTTCAGCTTGAAGATTTAACATTCCCGATCAGCACTAACATCTCACCTCGTCGCATGGCCTGGCGATGAGCCTCCTGCAACTCGTATGCTACCCGAATGTCGTTAGATAGATCTATAGACCACGTCGGATAGCCACGTGGGGGCCAGGCAGGTCCATCTGCGTCTGTCAGAATCCTGCAGCGGACATGTCGGAGACTGCACCGGTTCGGATCCGATCGGACCAGCATGCATGCAGTTGCCATTCAGGCCGAAAGCTATTGAGATCCTTTATGTTGCGGAAGATTGCAAGGAGAATGGTATGATAGATCTAATTGTGTGGATGCTTCTGTCTCTCTTGTCCTAGAACAGTTACCATGGCTGGATCCATTGCCCTGAACACGCGAGACACCATTATTGAGATCCGGGTGCGCCAACCCGACGCCCTCCCGCCACCTACCAACACTACTACCCCTCGCATTGAGGAAGTTGAGGAAGAGCCGACTGAACCTCATCAAGTTCCCGGGGAATGGCCCGATGTTCCCGTCCCCGTTGCCAGACCCCGGGAAGGACTGGAACGCAACGCCAGCCGACGCAGCCGTACCAAACGGCTCAGCCAGCGTCTAAGTGTGTCCAGCGATATCTTTCACGATGCTATTGAAGCTCAGGGCTACGGAGGAGCCGGCGCTGGGTCCAAGCGGCTGAGTGGAATTTATCGTCATTCCATTATTGAAGACTCGGTCGAAGCCTTGGGTCTGACGGAACCGACCGAGCAACTCAAGGTCGAAGAGCAGAAGGAACCACCCACCAAGACCAAATACGGGCCCCGAATATGGGCCATTATGGTCGCACTTTGTGTGACAAATCTTCTGGTCGCGTTGGAAGGAACAGTCATCTCAACGGCGCTGCCGACCATCGTGGAGGACCTGGGCGGCGGCGAAGCGTATGTCTGGGCTTCGACTGGATATTTCCTTACCAAGTAAGTTGTGCAACTATCCACAGTAATCAACAATGCTAATAGCATATAGTACCGTCTTTCAACCGCTGTATGGGCAGATGGCTGACATCTTCGGCCGGCGATGGCTGATCATTTTCGCGGTAGCCATGTTCGTGCTGGGCAGCGGCATCAGCGGTGGTGCACCGAGCATGAATGCCCTCATCGCCGGTCGCGTCATCCAGGGTATCGGCGGCGGTGGTATTACACTGTTGGTGAACCTGATTGTGTGTGACTTGGTGCCTTTGCGCGAACGTGGTCGTCTCATGGCCATCGTCTTTGCGGCCGTCTCAGTTGGCACCTCGTTGGGACCCATCGTTGGAGGACTGATAGTGCAACAAACCACCTGGCGCTGGGTCTTTTATCTCAATCTACCTGTCGGAGGAATTTCCATGGTACTACTCTTTGTGTTCCTGCAAGTCGGTCATCGCAGCGAAAAAACCTCCATCAAACGCCGTCTGAAGCAGATCGACTATGGCGGCAACCTGATCTTCATCCTGGCCATTTCATTCATTCTGGTCGCTCTGGCGTACGGCGGTACACTCTGGCCGTGGAAGTCATTCTCGACCATTATCTCGCTGGTCTTTGGGTTCTATGGAATTGTCGTGTTTATCTTCTATGAGCAGAGCAACTTCTGCCGCCAGCCCACGCTGCCCATGCGTCTCTTCACGCGCCGCACTTCTGCCACCGCATTCACCATCACCTTCATTCAGTCCATGCTCACCCTGCTCGTCATCTACTTCCTTCCGGTTTATTTCCAGGCCGTGCTTCTGGCCTCTCCCATTCGGTCGGGTGTGATGATGCTTCCGACGGTACTGGTGTTGGTACCAGCCTCGGTAGTCAGCGGTGCCCTGCTATCCAAATTCGGTCGCTACAAGCCCTTCCACTTTATCGGTTTCGCGCTCTTCACACTAGGTTTTGGCTGTTTTATCACGCTTGATGAAAACTCGCCAGACGTTGCCTGGATCATGGTGCAGATTGTCGTGGCCCTCGGATCAGGCTCCTCTCTGAGCACGCTGCTACCAGCTGTGCAAGCTGAATTTTCCGACCAAGACACTGCAGCTGCTACAGCAGCATGGGCCTTTGTGCGCCAATTTGGTGTGGTCTGGGGTGTATCAGTACCGTCGGCAATCTTCAACGCTCAGGTGGAGCACGATCTCTCGGGTATCAGCAGTGACAGTGTCCAGAAGACGCTCGGCGGAGGAGCTGCCTACGAGCATGGTACCAAGGACTATGTCAACTCGCTTACTGGGGACGTGAGAAATCAGGTAATAGGGTTGTATGCAGACAGCTTGAAGGTTGTGTGGATTTTCGCGACTGTTATTGCTGGAGTCGGCTTTATGCTGGTGTTCTTGGAACGGTAAGTTATTCTTGTTGCTGTGGATATTTGGTTGAATTCTAATGAGTACAGTGAAATTACGCTGCGAACGAAATTGGACACGAAGTATGGATTGAAGGAGGAGAAAAACGGTGATTCATCTAATGCATAATGGCGTATATCTTATTACGGTTTATTGTAATGACTTTCCTGGCTTTGTACATGGCGTTAGCGTCGTTAGTTCTAGATAGTCTATGAAGATGATGATTTTGCCTTCAATATCCGCGTATCTATTTCCTGCAATAATCATCATCGACCAGTATCACGACACCAACATCTTCAACGCTGCTCAATCTGCATCCTCGCACCAATTGCATCGATTCTCCATGTTTGGTAATGTTTCAGCTCACCACACGAGATTGCGCCATCCCACGGCTCCCGCTTGGCTCCGAATGGCTCGTTCGTTAATTCCGGCCGCTCCTACGGGGCGTCTGTGCAGAGCCACGCGAGAAGAGGATCCTTCTTCAGACGGATCGTGCAGGATCTGACAGATCCACTCTGACTGCATCTCGTATTGCCATGTTTCAGCCTGCGGGTGAGCATATCCGGCCTCGGATCCGATTTCCTGCTCCGTGGCCCCCATGAGGCTATCCGCATCGGTCGCGCATCATTATTGAAGTATATAGCTGCCATGATGAACTCAGTCTGCAACAAACAATCAACTGCAATAACTGCCATCACCATGAATACGACAATTCTCCTCGCGGGCCAGGCGGTGCTCATCGTGGCCATCCTGGTGGCCGTCAAATTCCGCACACCTATAACAAATACGATCAACCGTTTGATCTCTGCTATTCTTCGGGTAAGCATTTTGTTGATGACCATCATGGCTTCAACTCACATATCAGGTCCATCTTTCACGTCGCTTTCCTGTACATCATGTCGACGACAACAGTCCGCTACCCACCCTGCCGTACCAATGGCCTGATGGACAAGGCGACGGGGCCAAGTTCTTGCAAGGTCAGAGCAACTCAGAGCGCTGGGAGCGCCAGTTTGGAGCCATCTACCGGCTCTGGTCTGGCATGAACCCAGAAGTGTACGTCTACCTCTTGCTTCTTGTCGACAACTACTGATCATTGTAGCGTCCTCACCCGTCCCGAACATATCCAAGCCGTCTTCAAAGACTCGCACACCCACCTCAAGGCCAAGAACAACAACTCGGGATACCTCCTCGGTGAACTGCTGGGCCAGTGTGTCGGACTGGTCAGTCAGGATCAATGGCAGCGCGTGCGAGCCATCATGGAGAAGCCCTTCCACCGCAACGCCTCGACGACGTACATCCCACTCGTCAAGCGCCGCACGGAGCAATTCTTCCAGGAACTTTGGGACACCCGCGACCTGTCCCGGGGCTTGCTCGACCCGGCAGACGACCTCAAGTTGCTCCCCTTCCTGGTAGTCGCCGAAGTTGTCTACGGTCGCCTCGCCCCAGATGTCGAAGCCGAGCTGCGTCGCTTGGCCCCGCAACGCGAGAACCTGATGAAGCATGTCATCAAGGGCGGATTGACTCGTTTCGCTTGGTCGCGTTTCCTGCCCACGCAAGCCAACCGTGAACTGGCCGCGTTCCAGCAACGCTGGCTAGCCTTCAACGAGCTGGCGCACCGTCGTGCCGTCGAGCAGAAACTCAACGCCCCTATTATCGACTTCTTCGCCGCCCGAGATGCCGGTCAGATCAGCACCCAGGAACTTCTCCACACGCTCGACGAGATGCTCTACGCCAACCTCGACGTGACCATTGGCGGCGTCAGCTGGAACGTGGTCTTCCTTGCCGCGTACCGCGACATTGCCAAGCGTCTCCGCGAGGAAGTTGAGCAGCAGCGCGCTATCTCTGTAGATGGCGAAGTCGACGCCTACCTCCTGGACAACAGCACTCTGTTGGCGGCCTGTGTGGAAGAATCCGCGCGTCTCCGCCCCCTCGCCGCCTTCTCTGTCCCACAAGCCATCCCCACACCCAGAACAGTCGGCGGATACCACTTCCCCGCTGGCACAAACTTCGTGGTGGATTCGTACGCGCTCAACATCCGGAACCCCTACTGGGGCGAGGAGCGCCACTTGTACCAACCGGATCGATTCCTGGCGAGGAGCTTAACTCAGGCGAGGTACCACTTCTGGCGCTTCGGTTTCGGGCCGCGGCAGTGCATGGGCAAGTTTGTGGCGAGTGTGGTGATCCGGGCGATCCTGGTGCATTTAGTAGAGGGATATGACCTGCGGATGGTTAAGCCGGAGGCCATGGAGGAGTGGGGGAGAAATAAGGAGATTTGGATCAACCATCCGGATATGAAGGTGGTGTGTGAGAAGAGAGCTTAGATAGATTGTATTGGCTATATGGATCGATGAAAAGATGATAGAGTTGTATGTATTTACATGGTTCAGCGATTATGAACTGGTGTCTAGATGTTTGATGTTGCTTGTGTCGGTTCTTGGTAGCTTCAACGGGAACGGGAGGTAACCGTGGATATGAGGGGCGTTTCACATGGCCCCCTTGCTTTGTTCAATTTGTAATACCCCTGAGTGAATCTCATCAGTAGATCGTGGGTGGAGTCATATGGAATGGAAGTAAGGGATGGGTGGCGATCCGGAAGGTGCCGAGTGGAGTCGGAGATCTGGACTATCTTAGTCTACTTCGGACAGAGATAATCTATGATAAATGAGGTGGGGAATCTAAACAGTGTGCTAAACGTGTATACGAGAATCTATTCTGCAGTAGTAATTACTTATGAATATTCAAATGACTTCATGATTCCATCAACTGTGTTACGTGGCACTTTCTTAACTGGGGGATGTAGTGTAGGGCACCACCCGAGCGGAATATATACCTTCACTCCCGCAACGATATATCACTATCTACACTCACTACTAGCACTTACATCACCGCAATGAATATGATTAGAACCTGACTGAAACATCCCTGCTTTCTGGAATGAATCTCAACAAAGAACCCATCCCTGCACCATGCGACAACACCCACGGTTGAACCCGGTTCAACCCCCTCGGTAAACCCCTGACCCGGAGATAACCCCCAAACCAGCAAGAAAAAGCCCGCTCCGAGTTCTGGTCAAGGATTCATGCTGCAACGGCTTCCCTAACACTCAGATCGGCCCCGCTACAAGCGGCGGATCGAAATGATCTGCATGCTTACCATCTCCTCCGTCCGGACGAGTCGATATCTGTCCGGTCGGATCCGAGTACTGGTCCGGACAGAGCCTCGTGGCCGGCAGGGTATATAGGGCCTCTGACGCCAGCAGTAATGCACTCCTCTCCATCAGCTACCACTGCAATTATTTACACCACATAAGACGAAACGAGAATACACCAGGCCAATTCCTCCTGATCCTGTCATCTCTGTCCTACTCAAAGCAACCCTTCAATAATCACAACATAACATCATGCGCGTTCTTGTGATTGGTGGAAGTGGACGGTGTGGAAAGCTCGTCATCGATGACCTGCTGAGTCGCGGTAAGTGTTTCTCGCTTCAACTTGCAATTCATTGGTTGTATCGGCTAAAATGCTAACAATAATCTAGGCCACCAGGTTACCACGTTGGCCCGCAAGCCCGAATCACTGGGTGGAGCTCGTGCCGGGCTAAAAGTCGTCCAAGGTTAGTCATAGTCATAGTCTCTGGACATCTAAAGGAATCGACTCCAACTAACTAAAACCTCACCAGGAACCCCCACCGAACTGGAGGATGTCCGTGCCGCGTTCCAAGCCGACATACCAGATGTGGTAATTGTGACACTCAACGCCCCACGGGCCAGCGACAGCCCCTTTGCGGCGCCAATCTCACCTCCTCGACTGATGACGGACTGCAACAACAACGTGCTGGCAGCGATGAAGGAGTTTGGAGTACGCAAAACGGTCATCCTGCAGGCGTTTGGAGTTGGGGAATCGTGGGACAACATGCACTGCGTGCTGCGGCTGCTGATGAAGAAGTCCAACATGTCGTATCAGTATGACGATCACAACGCGACGGCCAAGGCAGTGCAGGCCAGTGGACTGGACTATGTGATGGTGCGACCGTCGCGGCTGGTGGAGACGCCCGATGCCAACCAGCCGGTCAAAGTGTGGCCGGATCATGGCAAGGGAGTGCCCATGATGGCCAGCACCAGTCGGATCACGGTGGCCCGCTGGTTGGTGGATGCTGCTGAGACCAACAAATGGGATAACACGGCACCAGTGATCACCAACTAGAATTTTTCTCGATCTTTTCTAGATATTGACATGGCAATCTCCCATCATCTCACGAGGGCCGATCCGGGGCGGAGCGGGTGGGAGCGGAGAATTTGGAGACGATCCAAGGTTGGATCGACAGGGCAATGATTGTTTCTTATTCTATTTCTTTTTTTTGACCCCCTCATGGTTTGTGTTTCATCATCTCTGGGCATTTACACCTGGCATGGCGTGAAGTTTTATGTATGTTATCAGATCTCTTGGCTTCGTATTAATCGTGGCTTTTTTTCTATTTATTCAGCAGAAATGCGATAAACTTTTCTTTTCCTCAGCGATGATTTTCAGGGTCTCCATCTTGGCTTGGCCTGGTCAGGCAGCAATACGAGATACACGCGAGTCGATACGAGGCTGAGGTAAGCAGATCCGCTGCAGCCTGGTAAGTTACTTGGAGGGGAAGGCGGTGAACGGACAAACAAAGACAATCTGCACTGTTCGTCTATGTGGCATCCTGGAGAAAGCTCTAAGGGGCAAAAAGTGGAGAGAGTCTCGCAGCCCTCGTTGTTATGGTTCTGCTCCACCAGTTGAACCAGAAAGTAGACTAAGAGCTGGGCAGAGGAAGGCAAACACTAGCAGTGTTGGGGTGGATGTCAGACTTGGCTGTGACTTGTGGATTCCTCCCATCGCCAATAATCTCCTCGTCTTACTTTCCTGCATCCACTCCTACGACGGCCCCTGCTGCTACTGCTTGCTACTGCTACTACTGCTGCACTGCATCCGCCTTGCGCGCCTGTCAGCTTAGCCTGAAGTCTCGATGAGACGGTGGCCCAGTCGCACTCTTGAAACCTGCTGGTCTTTATTATTGTCTCCCCCTCACACGCCAACCCTTACCCCCATTCTTTCCTTAGACTGGCTCCCCTTGTGCGACTTTGTTTCCCATCTCCGACGCGAGCACTCTTTGGAATTCTCTTTTGCCAGCAATGAGTCCCGTGTCTGGCCAGATCTCCCCGCCCACCGAGCTGGCCGGGGACGCTTCCCTGACCCGCAAACGTCCCCGGCCCGTGGTCTCGTGCTTGCGCTGTCGCAAGAAGAAGCTCAAGTGCGACCGGGTCATGCCCTGCGAGAATTGCTCCAAAGCCGGTTGTGCCCCGGACTGTGTCTTCCATCCCAGTCCTGATGGCGTTGATGGTCTGCCGGACCAGCCCAGTGCGAAGCGCATGCATCTGCCACCTGACTTCCCGTTTCCCTCCGATCCTCGGGGCGATCCGGCTGGTGCCAGGCTGCCTCCGCCGCCCGCTGCCATCGGTCTGCTGGAGGATCTCCAGCAACGATTGCAGCGTGTGGAAGAGGTGCTCTCCTTGAAGACGCTGACACGCTCGTATGCCGGCTCCCTCAAGGATGTGGTGGCCCGCGATGCCAGTCCGTCTGTCCGCCAGACCACCCCATCGACCCATGCTCCCCCGTATCCTGGTACTCTAGTCGTCAAAGGAAAGGGCACGCGATCACGTTACCATGGCCAGAACAACCGGACCACCTTGTTGCATCAGGTATTTTTCCTTCTAGATTTGTCAGTGGGATGCGTATCTAACAGCTTGTAGTTCTCCGAAGCGAGAGAGTTCATTGAACGCTGCACCAAGGACTCTGCCATCTTGGGGCTGGCCAAGGAAGTCCAGTTTCTACAGAGTAAATCTAAGATGCCCATGAGCTCACCAGAATCCATGCCCGACCTCGACTACTCGCCCGAGCTGCTGCAGATGCAGAGCTCTCTACCATCTAAAGCGGTCTGTGACCGACTCGTGAACTTGTACACCACCAACTTTGAACGTACCCTACGCATGTTGCATGTCCCGTCTTTTCTCCGCCAGTATGCCGATTTCTGGACCACTCCAGGGCCGGACGCTGAACGCTCCGCCACTTTCTTGCCGCAATTGACGGCCGTCCTGGCAGCTGCGCTGCCTCTGGAAGACCCCAGCTTCCGACTTGAGTATTCCTCTGTCTGGGAGTACTTGCAGACGCCCGCCGTTAACCTCGTGCGCGTGTGGTTGCAGAAGCTGGGTCGCAAGCAGCGCACCGAGCTGGTCTCGTTGCAAATTGAGGCGCTCGTGTTGTTGGCGCGACGACTGCGGCTGGCATCGCAGGAAGAGCTGTGGCGCGCCACCGGCACGCTCGTGCGGTCGGCCATGGTGGTGGGCCTGCACTTGGATCTGTCCGGGAATAAGCAGCTGTCACCGTTTCAGATCGAAGTCCGACGCCGCTTGTGGATTACCATTGTGGAGATGGACCTGCAGACCTCCATCGCCTCGGGTATGCCCGTGACCATCCCAGATCTCGACTTTGATCCGCTTATTCCGACCAACTTGAATGACACCGATTTCGACGAATCCACCACGGAGCTGCCGCCGGCGAAACCACTGCATGAGTGGACGGATACTCTCGCGCAAGTCACCTTGGCCTCCTCGTTACCCCACCGCATCCGAGCCATGTCGCTGGTGCGCACCTCGAGCCCGGGATTAGATCTGCGCGACATTGTCAAGCAGGGTCGACGTCTGGAAGAATGTCTGCGGCAGATTCCTCCTCCGCTCAAGCTGGATCCCTCACCGATCCATGGGGAAACCCCTGGACCAGCCCTCTTGTTGAACCGGGTGCTGCTGGACGTATACATGCGTAGACCCTTGCTGTGCCTCTACCGGCCGATCGTCATGGGCGAGAGTCGTGAGGATCAGCTCTTCCTGGAGATCGAGCAAGCGTGTCTGGAATCTTCGCTGGTGGTGCTCTCTTACCAGGATTACTTCGACCCTAACGTGGCGGATCTGGACGTCTTCAAATCAACCGCCTATTGGGATGTGTTCCAGCTCTTCTGCAAGAACGATATTCCATGGGCTGCACTGAGTGTGTGCGGGTATATGAAACTGTCCAACCAGCAGCATTCCGGGGCCCCGACGCCGATGGCGCCCGCTCCCGCCTACTCGCCCAGTCAGCCAACGACTACGCACACCAAGGCCAGTCTTACGCGCATTGTCGAGAATACACTCGACGGGCTGACCCGCACGATCGGCGAAACCGGCAGCAACATCAAAGATGTCATGCTGCTGGCCGTGGTGCTGCAATCGGTGCGGGCGCGGGGGTCCGCCGAGCTGAAGGAGCGGTGGATGCAGCAGGGGGCTGTGAAGGCGCTGTCGGCGTGTCGACAGCATCTGTTGCCGTCTGTAGCGCAGCAATCGTTTGCGTTTAACCTGACGGATTTTGCACAGATGGTAAACTTCCTCTCTTCTTGATATTGTTATGGATTTAGGCTAATCTTTCCAGCTTCAAACTACACAGCCGATCTTCCCCACAACAACAGACCCCGGCTACACGCCCTCTACGCAGCCACAGCTGCCCGACTTCCTAGCGGAGTCATCTGCCTTGGCGACAGAATTCAACAACTTCCGCGGCGATCCATTTGCATTTGAAGATGGATCGTTTGCCTGGAATATGTAAATCAGTGCCTGCATTATCAGCAATTTGTCGATAATGAGGCCTACGACGAATGACGCAGCGATATGCATTGTGCAGTCACAGTCAGTTTAGTATTGGTTACAATCAGTTAATCGCTGATTTGGTTATGAGCGAAAAGTGGGATGGTGTTTGGTGCTTCATAGATGGGACGTACATAGCGCCTCTTCACTGTATCCAGTTTGATGAGTTTCCCAGTGTATTAGTTAATTGTGTATTGCTTGATAATAGTGTACTTATGTGTGAATGGATACCCCGATGCAAATTGGTGCATAGGTTGCTGTGCCGTGAGCTGTAGTACCTCCCACCATAATCCCTCTTCACAATCGCCCTGCATCAACACGGCACTACCCTGTCTATATTCAACAAGTTAACCATCGCCTGTACATACACCAGGCAATACCCGGTCGTCTCCTCGGACAATTCCAAAGGGGTAACCCATCCCCAAAACCCCGACTCCATCGGATCCGGGTTCGGATCCGGACCACCAGCTCATCTCAGCTAAGGTCAGCTTCCGCCCGACGTCGATCATTCTACTACTATCAATCAGCCAACACTGTCACCTGTTTGTGTAACACTTCCCCCTATACCCCATTATGTGCTGGCATCGGGCAGCTGGATAATCCCGAGATGAGTTCGGGCCACGGGGTTAAGGGGCGGAAACTTGAAACTGGATGCCTGTGAATGAAGGCGAGGAGTGTGGTATATAAGGAACGACGTCCCGCTGTAGTTTGAGATCATCAGACAGCACAGCACAGCATCGCATAGCAAAGCACATCTACACATTTACACGATACCGGCATTTGCATGATATCTACATCCCATACCTACAACAAACTCATCTTCTACACCATCTACAGCATGTCCACCCACGTCGCCATCATCGGCGCCGGCCTCTCCGGCCTAGCCCTGGCCCTCTCCCTGCACCAGCAACGCATCCCCTGCACCATCTACGAGGCACGCTCCGCCCCGCTCAACATCGGCGGAGCCATCATGCTTTCCCCCAACGCCCTCCGCATCCTCGACACCCTGGGTGTCTACACCCGGATCCGCCCGGAAGCCTACTCCTTCGACAACCTCTACTTCCGCTCCCCGGCGGACACCCCCCTGGACACATACGAGTTCGGCAACGCCGCCAAATACGGCTACAGCGGGATGCGCATCTACCGACACGTCCTAATCCGGGAACTCTCCGCGATGGTCTCCGAAGCCGGGATCACCATCCACTACCACAAGAAATTCAGCCGAGTCATCACAGAGACCGAATTGAACATCACCTGGGAATTCGAAGACGGCACCACCTCCACCGCTAACTGTCTCGTCGGCGCCGACGGCATCCACTCCAAAGTCCGCAAATACCTGTACCCAGACCTCGAACCCAAATTCATGAACGCCATGGCCGTCACCGCCGCGGTGCCTACATCCCAACTGGCCATCCCGGAGGGGTATAACATCCCCGTAACAATCATGAACAAAACCCACGGGGCGTTCGTCATCGCGCCTCAACTGCGCGACGGCTCCGAGGTGCTCATCGGGCGGCAGAAGCGATCCGCCCAACTCGACCGGGAGGGATGGACCAAGCTGATGAACGACAAGGATTGGTGCGTGGAGTTCCTGCGTGAAGGGGCGGATGAGTTCCCCGAGATAGTGCAGCGGGCTGTATCGAACATCTCTGCGGAGAAGATTAACCTGTGGCCGTTTTATATGGTCCCCAAGCTGGAGAAGTGGAGTTCGGAGCATTGCCGAGTGGTCATTCTGGGGGATGCGGCGCATGCGATTCCGCCGTCGGCGGGACAGGGGATTAATCAGGCATTTGAGGATGTGTTTACGTATGCGTTGGTTTTGGCGAGGTGTGAGGGACAGGAGGGCGGGTTGGAGAGGGGGTTGAAGGTTTGGCAGAGGGGGAGACAGGAGAGGGTGGATAGGGTGTTGGCGTTGAATGCGCAGATTGATAAGAGGAGGATGCCGAGGCCTGCTGGGGAAAATAATGGGGGAAAGGAGGAGGAGGAGGAGGAGGAGCAAAAGACGAGAGGGGAAGTCAAAGGAGGGTGGTTGTATAAGCCGGATTTTGAGGCTATGGTGGAGGAGTGGTTGGCCAGGGAATGACTGCATGGTAGTGGTGGCAATGGGTGCAGTTGGAAGAGTTGGGTGAAGGTTGGGGCTGTTTCGGGGGTTTTGGGTCTGATAATGTTGAAGTTGAGAGCGTGATTGGTTTCTTCTGTTGATATATGGGTTTATGTTGTTGTGTTGGGTTTAATAGGGTTGAAAAGTGCTGTGACGGTATTATGGGATTTAGTGGTATCGTTTTTTCTACTATGGTATACATCACTTCTCTATCAGACAAACGGTTTATCATTCTTCAATCTTGGTCCCTCTCCATGATACAGCAGGAGACCATTTTACTGATACAATAGATGGAGCAACATGACATCACTACATCACCTCTCGGTTCGCTTTCTCGGTTTGCCGTGGGTCCGAGACCGAGGCTGACAACTTCGCAGAATCACGACCCACTGTCGACGACAATCGCTATATATGGAGAGCGACAGCGTAGACATCCTGATAGTCACTTGCACATACCAACATGGCTCCCGTTATCGTCTTTGGTCCAACAGGCGCGGTCGGCTCGGCCGCCGCGCGCACCGCCCAGGAACTAGGAACCATGGTGTATCTCGCCATGCGCGACCCCACGAAACCCATTCCCGGTCTTAGTGCGGAGAAGGAAAGCGAGGGAGGTTTCAAAAGAGTGCAGGCCGATTTCTCGCAGCCAGACACTATCTCCACTGCAGTAGCGCAGAGCAAAGCGAAACACGCCTTCATCTACACCGACCTGACTTCATCTGACCACATGCGAGCGAGCTTTACCGCTCTCAAAGAGGCAGGAATCGAATCTGTCGTTCTGCTGAGCAGCTTCGGCATTCAGGAAGATGTTCGCAACGTGTCGCCCGAGTATCACATCGCCCATGTTCACGCGCAGGCCGAGGTTTCCCTGCAAGAAGTCTTCGGTGCGAATGGTTATGTAGCAGTCCGGCCGGCCTTTTACGCGAGTAACACACTTTGGTGGAAAGCTCCCATTCAGACCGGACATGTGAAGCTCGCTTGGCCAGCTGCAGCTTTTGACTGGATTTCTCCGGAAGATATTGGAGGTGTTTGCGGCACGATCATTGCCCACAGGGCCCAGGGAACTGATCTCTCGTTGGCCGAGCCGTACGTGAATCTGGTCGGCGCGGAGAAGATGGGCGTTGGGGATGCCGTCAAGACTATTGGCAAAGTTCTTGGCAAGGAGGTCAATGTCTCTGAGGTGGGTGAGAATGAAGCCTTGGACAGCTTGGTGAATGAGTCCGGGCTGCCCGAGCCAATCGCGCGATCGGTGCTTGGATTTTGCCAGAACGCGGCGAATGGTCAGTCCTTCATGGACAGCCCCCGGTATGGGCCTGCAGTTGGCAATATAGAAAAGTACCTTGGCCGGCCGGCGACCCGGTTGCATGAGTGGGTGGAGGCAAATCGAGAGAAGTTCAGTGCTTGACATACTGGCTTTCCTCAAGTAATACTGCGGTGTATGGTCATTTGCAAATTAGCTGCGAAATAAAGTCAGTGCGTGCTCCAGTAGGAATTCTTTTCATTGAGTAATCAGCCATGGGTATTGCTCGTATTCTCAGGGTGTTAACCCCTGGCAAGCTTGTGGCTTGGTTGCACATTGGGTCGGTCGTAATTGCCGATGAATTCAAATTCCCCCTGCGTTTCGAGCTCGTTCTATAGGAGGTTTCTGGTCCAATCTCCTCTATAGATGGCAATGATGAAGACTGGGGGTCAAAATGACGATCAAACAAGTAAGCATAAGCGGGATCCGGATGAACTTTGTCCCCACATTGCAGTCTTTCTTTCCATCGTTAATCTGAACACTGCTACAGACAAAATAACGTCATGTCCTTAAAAGGATGCACTAGTGATTGATTTGCGGGCTGTAGGCGTTGCGACTGTAACTGAGTCCTGTCTTTGTCCTTGTTCTCTACAAGAGTCTCCTCGCAGCCTATCCTTATGGTTGTACAAACATAAAAGGCTCAGTGGTGGATAGATAAATGGATCTGGAACGTGCTTGACGATTATGTATGGGTCTAAATATATAGTCTTAATGGGTTTGGAATGATCACTTCCCCCGAGGTGAAATTGCAATGGCCATAAACACCCTCTTGGCCAGCCGTGTCTTTCCTCAGAGGCGAATAACCACCATTCCCATCCCTCCTGTCTTCCAGCTCATGATCACTGATGATTTCGTCCGCGTCGTCTCCATCTTCCCGCTGCATTGCAGCCACCGGAATCTCACCCCACATGATCGGCTTCAGAGCATGCTCGTCACCCTCTATTGGATGACATGCAGCGCTGATTGCTGCACTGCAGCTGCCTGCAATGGGCATCTGTGATGTAAAACGTCTCATGCCTAGACCCACTACAGTACACGTCATCATTCCCCCTAGAATAAGCGCGAAAACAATGGCAATCGGCCCATAACCGCAGCCAATGAGCTTTAACGCATCCACAGTCTCTCCCTGCGCGTCAATTGAATTTATTTGGAAGAAGAACAAACTACCAGCCACCAGCCAATGTAGGAGCATTGAGGCAACCATAAGGGGAATGTTGTAGCGATAGGGAAGACTGAGATAGTAAGACGATCGTTGGGAGCCCTGGGGCCAGGACACGCGGAGTGGCTTCCGCTGGCTCGCGTAGTCGTCGTATTCTGCAACCAAAAGCATGTGCGTCACGAGGTTGTTGTACAGGAAATAACCGACCGAGATAAAAATCTGGGGGGTGTTGGCAAGAAGTGCCATGTGAATGACGTTCGACGATTCAGTTGCTAAGACAATTGTATAAGGCGTGGCCGAGCCGAACCCCAGCTTCTACAGCGCACTGAAGGTCGAGGAGTGCTCTTCGTTTCGCAAGCTATAAATAGCTTGTGATAGACAATAACCACCAACGCCAAGGAGGGTAAGAAACCTATATGCGTCAGTGACAGTGGACACAAGCGCAAAATGTCGTCGCACGTACACGCTAATTGTCGCTATCCACTGGCTGGTAGGCAAGGCTCGCGTCCATCGCTGGCGAGGCGGAAGGGTTGCCCACAGTGGGAGTCGCGATGTATCCTTTACCGCGAGTTGCAAATAGTCCCTCCGGAACGATGGCCAAGGCTGTGGTCCAGAGAACAGATTCGACCGAGATACCAAGCCCATCCGCTCAATGGATGGATCAGGTCTACTCAGAAACGACGCCACAGCATCTCCAACAGTCAGGAAGATGTCCGTCCGATTGCTTAAGGCCGTTAATGACATACACAGAACCTTTATAATATTGCAAACAATCACTACCAAGCAGATCGCCGGGCTGAACTGCAGCTCACATTGCTCGGTGAGCTTCCGACTCAAGCAATATTCGACTGAGTACTGTGGCCTCTCCACCTGATGGATACTGATATCAGAAGTATATACAACCTCGCCCGCGTCCGGCACAAGGCTTACAGCCTGAGCCCACGTATTGTTGAGCCAATGGGTGGAGTTATCCAGGTACTGCTACAGGGCATACTCTAGTGGGAAGCTATTAAGCTCCAGTTCAAGGGTTATCATATCCTGCGTCAAACCTTCACTCCACCCATTGGTATCTATCCCTGCGAATGAGGAGCCCCTCCCATTGACTGGAAATGAACCACTGGGAAGCTCGATGGTGGCATTAATCACTGGATTATCCTAGGGCACGGGGGGCGAGGCGACCCATTGGTCAAGAACACTCAAGAGCTCCGAGGAGGTGCAGGAGGATGAATGTCTGCTGATTTGATCGCAGAGTCAGTCATAGCTGGATTGAATAATATCTATATGTTTCTCAACTGGGGTTACGAAAGCAACCCATTGCAGATGTTTGTTGGCAGTGGTGTGGTTGTTGGTTACCAAGATCAGAGTGCCCAGGTCTGTCGGGAAATCCACTGCGTACGTTGCGGACACATTCCTCTTTGGTCAGATTTTCGAAGCTAGGAAGATCCGCATAAAAACTGGACATGCTCCTTGTCGTGTTTGACTCAAAACACTCCTCGTACGAGGAGTTATAATGGGCCGGTAGGCGATTAAAATCGAAATCTGCCGATGCCAGTTGGACATCGTACTGCCTTGTGCCCAAAGCGAAAATAAGCTTCGTCGTTAGGCCCAACGCCTTCGAGGATGAATAATGGCATACATCAAATGAATGGGAAAAGAGGTTACAAGAAGTACCAGCCACAAGGTGAGTCGAGGCCAATCCGCCCATGCCAGATTCCGCACGCTGGCGACCCCGATGTCCAGCCACACACGCTGCCCATGTGCGCGGTCGACATCGGCACGAGAAGGCGCAGTCAAGCACTGCATACAGTAGCTACTGGCCCCGAGAATGATTGTGCTGAGGACGTTGATCAGCAGATGCAGACCCGTCGTATACGCCTTTGTTCGGTCGCAACTGTACTTGTAGATGGTGGCCGAGCTCATCGTCCGCTGGCTATGGCCGGCGACCGACACGGCGGCCGCCACAATGGTCAGGGTGATATTCACCATTAAAACTCCAAAGGCAGCGTATGTACATATCAGCACTCCCCGTACCCATCTTCTCTTGCTGTCATGGTGTGTAGAGAGCTTCAGAGACGAAAGGGAGGGGTTTGGCCACACGAGATGTTCGCGGTCTCGAGTACAGCTGGTGATCTCACTAGTGCTGGCCTGGTGTACAGGTACCATTTCAATGCCTTCCGCCCTTCGCGAGCTGTGGTGGAGATACTGATAGGTTCTCGTCTGGAGTGACAGCCAACGCCATAAACGCGTTCGGTCTGGCAACAAATCTCTCATTATGCTCTGATGAAAAGATGGAAATGGTCACACGCAGGGCTGTCAAGGAGATGCTGGCTTTTCAGGAGTCTATAACTCTCACAACGAAGACCCGATCGGTGTCCTGCTTATAGCCTGATTCAATGCGGCTGAGCCTTTCCAAAATCAAACCTTCGACCGATGCAAATGCACGGTGCCCGAAGCTACTATGGCGGCCGTGTCCCCGTGCGATCGGCTAGACCGTAACGCGCGGGGCCCAGACAGATTGTTTGAGGCCATGCTTAGGCATTTCGAGGTCTCAGCCTCGCCAGTCTCGCCAGCCTCGCTTATGTTTAGACGCTGCTAGAAGAAGCTCGGGTGTCCCCGAGGAAAGTTCCAGCCCGCTTACCATTGGTCTAGAGGCCTATGCTAATTGGGTTGTCCAAAGCTTTCATCTCGTTAGTAATCGAGACGCTTCTCCTAGCCCTTATGAGTGATTTGAGTGTTTAATCCAAGGCATAATATCTGAGTCCACGAGAATCATCCTCTCCGGAGTCGGCTAGTACACTCAGTATTGAAGTCTCACACGCCTTCATTGAAGAGGAAATTATCTGAACTCTCAGACTGAAACTTCTGTTCACATTAGTAGCATCCCACAATCTGCACAGGTCATTTTTTCCTATGTGACCCCTCAGGTGCCTACTGAGTACAAAGGTATAGTGGATATTTTCGTGAATACAGCTCAGTTTCGAGGCTATATTCGGGGGGGGGGGGGCGATTTTCGTGGTCTTTCAAAAAGGTTCTAGTATTTATTGCGTTTTATTCTGACTCACCAGCTGCATCCACATATGCAGTTTAGCAATGCAGCGATCATCTCAAGAGAAGTGAAGTGATTTGGATTCTGAGTCCGTATGATCCGTACCGACTTCTGTGTCTTTGAATCTTTGGTCTCATTTTCCAAGTGCGTTAATTCCTGACCAAAGCCGACCGTCTTGCACATGGCTGCAATATACTCAATATAGAAGGGTGGCTGAAGATTGCAGGACGGAGTAATGATTGTGTAGCTATGTGGGTCATTTCGGTTGAACTACTATTTAGTACCTTCGGGTCATCAATGCTGATAGGGCCGATAAAACACCACTACCAATGAAGTACTTCTCGTGAGCCAGTAACAATCTGTTCGGATGGAATATCAATGGCCATACGCAATACGGCTTTCGCCGATCTCTCTAGGAAACTCCTAATCATAGATAGTGTATGAAAATCTATTGGTTGCACAGGAACGCACGGGGCCGCGCAGTGCCTGCAAAACCACGGATGTCCGATGACGAAAAGAGTAGGATAACGAGGAAATCTGTATGTAAGAATTTATATGCTAATGTATTTAAACCAGCTGATGGTGCGTAAGATCGCATTGTCCAGAAATTTTCTCAACTCTACATGAAATACCAAGCTTGCGATAACATTTATTCCAACGACAGAAAACATAGCTCTTCAAAACAAATGGTTCTATCCAAGCGACATAGCCCATGATCTGGATGGCATCGATCTACCAACAGAAGTAAAGGGTGAAATTCTGGCATGCGCTTGGGAATACACCCGGTGTGTGATCCCACAATACAGTAACTGGAAGCGCTATGTCGCTTTCATGCGCATTATCATTATCAGTGTCATCAGCGAGTTCCGCGGAGACATGGTGGACGTGGTTGCCGGTCCCGAAGTCCTAGGCTACGACCTTGATGCCGTCTTGAATGCCCTCTTCCACGATACGCCGGGACATCACGCCATGGTCCGTGAGTATAAGTGCTCCCTTCTGGTTACAACTGAGAAGGCGAGTCACAAGCGATATGATAGTGAGATGTTTCGTCGGTATGTGAATGCTCTTGTTGGCTCTCCACAACAATGGTTTCGAATGCGGGATTGTGACGCCTTGGCCCGTTTCACAATTGCTGCAGCTCTTTCCTGTAATGATCTCGACACCTGGTATACGGACGCGCAGTACGACATCCTGTGTGAGATTGGGGATACTATGTATGATGCGGTGGCCTTCTTCAAGCATCGATCCGAGGGAGAGACAAACAGCACTTTTGCCTACATACCGGAGGATGAGCGCATCAGTGCTTTTCACGAAGCGCGGCAAGTCCTGTGGACATTGGATGTAGCAATGGCAGGCAAGCCCGGCCATACAATCGTCACCAACTTCGTCCGCAACCTTGGTGGGCCAATTCACATGACAATGCGGCGATATCGGTTCGTCGAAGAGGGGCTCACCATTGGTAAGACTGAGTCTGAGGAGATCATCAACGAAACTCGGCAGAACTTCAAGCTTTGGAACCGCTTGGATGCAGATTCAGTCACGTCCCTCGATATCAAGCATTATGATATGCTTCTTTCCCGGTGTGATGACCTCATGTTTCCGGGTTTGGCGGAATGGCTGGAAGCCGACAGCCAGCATTGTACCCAGTGTGTATACCGCAAGGCATATGGTGCACAGAGGGCCCATTGCTTCGGTGGCGTGGAACTCTGCAGCAAGTGTCGTGATGTGTGGCGCGAGTACCTCAAGACGCTGCCTGAACGCACGAAGCAAGCATTTCCGGATCTTGCCCTGGAGATATGATGTTTGGATCTAGCAGTTAGAGACTAGTAACAAGGAAAGCAAGACATGAAACAAGAATTGATGTGCTTTAGCAGATGAAATAGTGGTTTGTTGTTTTCACAGCTCTTTGGTTCATACTTACTCGCATTATACGGTCATACGTACTCTCGCTATACGGCCCACGATCAAATCTACGGACGGAGGAGGAGGGGGTCTGACTGCTACATGGTAATAAAGTTTATAGACCGCTTCATTCAAGCGAGTGGAGACCTAGCGCGATAGAGATATTGCTTGATATGTACCAAGTAGAACTACCATCCCAGAGTACAATGTCAATCACTCTGAATCAGATCACCAGCAGGCCTCAACGACTCATTCTATAGATAGTGCGATCTTTTACTTGATCCGCTCCAAGACAAAATACAAACGGTCTTCCTCCTGGCTAGAACTATCATGTTCAGGACTATCCATCACCCCAATGACTGTATCATCATCAACATAGCGAAAATAGTCAATAACAGGCCGTTCATTATAGACCATTGCGGCAGACACGACGTCATTATATTTGACCTCGCGAATCTTGACAAACATTCAGCCATTGACGATACAACCAAGACTAGGGATAACATACCCTCGCACCACCCCAATAGAGGTTGGGGAACCGACAACCTTTATCGTCAAGACACACCATGGGATCCACATGGTCGACTCCGTGGAAGTCCTTCCCAGCCCATTTGACTGTCTGAAGGATCTCCACGAGCTTGTTGCCCGTCAGAACAGGAAGACCTTTCCATTCGCCTAGCATGAAACTTGGCTGGACAGGGGGTCTCTCGTCGAAGTAGGCCTTGGCTTCAGTGAGGCTAATGGGCTGATTGGCGCGGATACGTTCTAAGATGCTGGGATATGAGGTATTAGTGCCGGGTTTCCATAAATTTCAATTTTCATAGCGCTACCTGGTCATGGTGTCTGATTCGTGGGAGTATATCCTCGTCTTTTGATTGATGAGGAATGCAAAAGTTCAAGGAAGGTCTGATCTACTTATTTGTATGCTTCAATCCTCTTATGTGTAACGTCATATCTATTCCAACTCACTCCCTACATACTGAGGTGTGTAATATGCAAGCATCCAGAACCTGTTGCCAGCCGGATCACATTATGGTGCTGGTGATCATTACCAAGGAGATCTGCGTTCATGGAGTAGGTGGCCCAACAAGGATAGAATTATTCAAGGCATGAAATAACCATACAGTTTATCCCTTACAGGGGTCTGTCAGCTGGAAATGCCCTTACTTTGCTGTATCGAACGGCATGTTGGCAAGATGCAGCCTGCTATATAAGGCGACACCACCATGACCCTGATCGGCCAGTGGGTCTGCCTGCGCGTTGTCTGCTCAATGCCCAATAGGGTGTCAAGCTAAAGTGTTAGCAGCTTGAAATACAAAGAACGGTCGGTTTAGCCCCAAAGCGAAATGCAGCTGGCAGTTTGCGGGAGTAACAAGGGTTGCTGATTAATCCAGATCGTCGTGCTAGTTAACTAACTCTTAATCAAGATAGAACCGTTCAGCCTCAAGCGTGCTATGAGATAATCACAGTATAGAGATCATATTTCGCCATCGGTCACGAGTATGGATTGGAACCTACTCACAATAGGGGGGAAACAAAGAAACAGGAGCCGAGATACAGCCTCAAACAGGGATGCCCATCCTGGGCCATCTTTGAGACTTCCTAAACTAGGATAGCTTCTCGTCCAACCTGTCAGAATTCAGCTGGACTGGACGATCACATACATTACTGCCTGACCATCACAGACTAAGATATACCCGAGGGTTCCAGACGCTGCCCCAGTTGCCAATCGGGGGCATTTAAAGCCAGCCCACCGAGCGTTGCTCCCGTTATGATTTGTATGAGCTTGAGCCACCATGCCCTCCCTTAAGACCGTCCTGATCACCGGCTGCTCCGCCAACGGCATCGGATCGGCCCTGGCCGAGGCGCTCGCCAATCAAGGCCACCACGTCTTCGCCACTGCGCGCTCACCATGCAAAATACCATCGTCTCTCACCACTCTGTCCAATGTCACCCCTCTCCAGCTTGAAGTCACCTCACCAGAATCTGTTGGGACACATATCTCTCCGTCGCCTGGCTAGAACCACGCGATATATCGTTTTTGGTCTAGCGGTTAGTGCTTCGACAGAATCCGTAGCTGCAGCCGTTCAGGCGGTGGAGCAGCACGGAGCAGGCCTTGATATTCTCATAAACAATGCGGGTTCTGGTTACACCATGCCGCTGCTGGACGTCGACCTCGCCCAGGCCCAGCAGGTCTACGAGACCAACATCCGGGGTCCGCTGCGCCTTATACCAGCCGTAGCACCATTGCTACTATCCCGGGGTGGACGCGTCGTCAACTTAAGCAGCGTGGGTGCTGTAGTCCCCACGCCATGGATCGGTACATCAATCTCCTTCCCGCGGTCGCCATGCAGTGTCACATTATTTAACAACGTGATACAGGCATCTACTCATCCTCGAAATCCGCATTGAGCAATCTCTCCAAGACTCTGCGACTCGAACTCGCTCCGCTAGGCGTATCCGTGGCCACGCTCATGATCGGCACCGTCACGACGCCCTTCCACGCAAACGAGCCCACATTCACCCTCCCACCAAGCTCACGGTATGCAGCTATCGCGCAGACCATCTCCCGCTGGGCGTCGGGCGAGGCGAGTCCAAAAGGATGCTCGCCACAGGAGCTGGCGAATTTGATTCTGCCTGATGTACTAGGTACGACAGGACATGGCATGTTCTGGCGCGGGCCGAATAGTGGTGCGGTGAAGTTTGTTTCTCAATGGGTGCCGGGGTGGTTGGCTGTGAGTTTGTCCTCATCTACTGAGGGTGTTATTGCTAATGTTGAAATAGGATCGCATGATGAGCATGGGGCAGGGTTTGGATGAGCTCGTGGCGAGTCAATCAAAGTGAAAACAGGCCAGATCTACATGAGTCTTTAGCCATTTGTAAGATGTTGGAAGGCAGTTGTAAAGAATTGGCCCTCGTGGTCAGGCCATGTTGCCAGCTACATACATCCTTTCAAGGGGCATCTAGGTCATGCTGTGTCCCATGTGGAGTGCCTAAGGTGTCGTCTCATAAATGCCGACAGTCAGACATGGATCTGATGCCTCGGGAGTAGTAGTAGTAAAAAGGACCTCGCGTTGATAGGACCTAAACTATTGTTACATATCATCAGTAAGATTACGAGTGAACAGCTCATATTGTAATAAGCCATCCAAAAGTAGAGTAGGAGAGTAGCTGTAGACAAATCATGGTCACACAGTAGCAGGTGCAGGCACCGACCATATTCTGCCCCCTCATAATGAAAGCGGTCAAAAACTTCACAAAATCCAGGGTGAGCATTCTGAGACTGTAAAAGCTTAAATCCGCTTAAATCCGCGATTTTTTCAACGAGGTCGACTAGGTTCTGCCGCCTGAAGCGGTGTGGTGAGCGGTCAGAGCTCATTTTCTGCCAGCCTGTCAACAAAGGCGGTCAAATTTTATACAGATTCCACGATGAGTGTCCGGGAACCGTAAACTCTTAAATCCGCTTAAATCCGAGGTTTTTCGAGCGAGGTTCGCTAGGTTCTGCCGCTTTGAGCGGTCAGCGGAGCGGTGGAGCACGTGATGGCAGAATAGAGCTCCTTTTTCAGCCGCGGTTCCGGCGCGTAGTTTTATTAGGCATCATGCTCTTTGGTTTGCTGAGTACTAGTTGTACGGAGAATTTGGCTCCAATTGTTGCTCGGGATTCTGGAGGGTCTCAGAATTCTAAAGAGTATTATGAGATATTTGCTCTTGTGATAAAGAACGGTCTACTGCTAGCTAACGGACTCTGCTAAAGTTCAGTTCGGATCACCTGGACAGCTACAAATATAAGTACATTCCCGGTTAGTAGAAGGAACAACAACTAACCACTTCAGTACTGAGTATTTGTAATTGATGGTGGGAGCTTATAATAACTTAGGCTGCGATTACTATTCATAATCAGGAAACATTTGTTGCAATATTCTGACAGTATCCCAGACTCGATCTGCAGTGCCTACTACCCCTCCTTCTTTCTTCGGCCATCCGCAGCCACAGCAGACGAATGAGCCAGATGTTGTCGGAATGGCGCGGTCGGTGCTAGTGTTACTCAGTGCTACGGGCACTGCGAATCCAATCGCGGCGGTCCTCATCGGAACTGCATATCCGGAAAAACAAAAGACCCTGGAAAGAAGTAGCAGGGATATCGACAGGGATATTGTACAAGTTTACCTAAAGACAACTACCATTGACCTGAAGGTGCATACAAATTGGTGATACTTTGGTTCTGTTGTCCTCAAAAGTATTCCCCAGTTTGGTGAGCTGCAGCTGTCGATGACGACGGAGTGCAGCCCGTGTTAAGCCACTGATGCCCCTCTGTGCTTCTGCAGTGGGATGCAGGCTTGTGATCATCGACTGCCACGTTGCAGAGTACCCCTCATGGAGGATGCTATCTACTCCTACTGACCTTGGAAGCTTGCATGCATACTGTTCTACAATGGATTGAAAAAAATGTGTTGTTGGTTGTTCATTGTGGTATATTCTATTTCATGTCATACACACTACCGTACATCATAAACAGATAGGTGCGTCCAACTCATATTCCAATCGCTTAGAAGTCCTGGGCGGAGGCCTCGTAGAGCTGCTCCTGAGCGTGGCGCTTGGCGGCCTCACGCTTCTCCTGGAAGTGGTCGTAGGCATCGAGGCCCTTGGTCTCGAACTCACGGTCGACGAAGGCACCGGCGAGACCGGCGAGGATCTCCTTAGCCTGGGCGTGGCTGTCGGGCTTGCCTGAGAGGAGATTAGTATTATGTATCAAGGGGAAGAGATAAGAGGTTGGACTAACCGTTCTTCTCCTGGTGCTCCTCGTAGGCCTTCATGGCCTCGTAGGCAGCGGCACCACCGATGAGCTCGTGGCTGAACTTGGCCTTGTGCTCCTCAGTGACCTCACCCTGGGGGTTGAA